GTACTAGTGTGGCTTTTTGTTTTCTCAGTTAGTGGTCTGCATGCCATGTATGTCTCATTCCCCTCAGCATTTCGGTGTCCCATAGGATTCCAGTTTATTGTGCAGTTTTCCACTCTATAAATATTTTAAACGTGATATTCATGGTTTACTCTGACAATGAAATACAGAAAGCAATCACTTTTGGTTTGTCAGTAATCTTTAGGAAACAATTGTCCTTTAAAAATACCTTAGTTATCTCTAGTGACCATTCGGTATTTGCAAGTGAACTAAAAGAAAAAAACAAATATAATTTTTTTAAATACTAGATTTTAAAATGGACATGAGCTTAATATAGAATTGGGTTGAATTCACTCTGCTGAAATGGGACAGGCTTAACCAGAATAGTTCCCAGGAACTCTATTAAAGCATCAGGAGCTGTAATAATAGTCCATACTAAATTTAACTTTATAAAAAAGAAGCTCCCTATTATCTTATGCTTTTAAACTCTGAAATGCAGTGTTTTCTTTGATATTTCCAATTGCTTCAGCCCTGCCTGTTTAATTTGCTCCCTCCATATTTTCTCTGCAGCTGATAACATTGGGTATCGCACCTCTGTTCTGTGCCATATCTCCCTCTGGCACTGGAGAGGAAATCTTAATCCCTATTTCCTGCTGTCACCTCTCATCCTAAAGAAGCATATCAGTAATAAAGGAGCTGCAGTTCTCATAAAACTGCCCAAATATTAAAATGGTTTAATCTTCTACTAGGGAAAGCCAGAGTCTCACCACATGCTTTACTTTCGACTGCACTTTGATCCTCGTGTAAGCTACAAATATTTAGCATTTCGGATCTGCCATATTTGAATACACAAAACCAATCCATTATCTCCTTCAAAATGGTGCAGAGAATAAAGGATAGAGATTGTATTATGTTTGTACTTAATTATATATTTGTCTTTTGACTTTTATTTAGAATCCATGTAAGTGTCAAGGTAAGAAAACTTTTTTTTTCTTCTCAGGCCCCAGAGCAAGTGTCTCCATGAATATTAGCACTGAGGTGTGTTTAATACAAAGTGATTCCTGCTCTAGTTGATCCTGTATGAGCTGGATGAACAATTATTTATATCTCCCAAAGCCCCATGCAAAGATAGTGAGTTTTGATTTGTATAAACAAAATCAGTGAGGGGACAGTGAGGAGCGCTGTAGGGGAGGATGTGTACAAAGGACTGTGAGAAGCCTGACCAGAGAACTGGGTGTCCAACAGAAGATGGAGTAGCGGAGCTTTAGGGAAAGAAAACAACAAATGGGACAAAGGTAATCTTTTCCTAGCCTACTCTCCCAGCTTCTGACAGCCAATGACTTATGGAATTCTTGAGCAAGTAGTTTCCTCAGGAACACCTTGCTTATTAACCATTCACACACCCTTGAATAATTGGTTTTAATAATCTATTTTTGACTTCTAGGCACATCCATTAGAATTTACAGTGCATGAAAAAAAAATTGTTGGTTTTAAACATCCTATTTTATACTTTATTTGGGCAGCCTTGTGTTATGAGAAACAGTGAATTGTTCCTGATTCACCTACTCCCCTACTTCTGTCTGTCCTGCAACCACTCAGAGTTCATAAGAGTGGAATAAGAATGATGAGAAGAGTTCAATTCCAACAGCTTGGAGGATGAGGTTGTGGAAATATTTTTTTTTCCCCCCAATGATAATAAATACAGTATTTTAATAACAAAAAGGGCCGATGAAGAGCCTCTCTTAAAATTTAACATAACTTCTTTACCAGTTAACCCTTTTTAGCTTTGCACTTGGAATGTGTTTTCTCACCACACTGCCACTTCCAGCTATGTCTTTAAGCTTTTACTCACTTTAATGACAGGAATCTTCACTGTTGATGTTAATGCAGAGCCTCAGGAGCTCATCTGCAGAGCTACTCTTCCTTTTCACTTGCTCCCAGAGACTGACAGGCATCCCAAATGAAACTCATTTCCTCCTTATCCTGAGGACAAGGAGAGGTGGCAGGTTCCAAACAGAGTTTGGCTTTGTAGCTGCAAGGAGAAGGTTGCTATGGCTGTCTCATTTTACAAGGAGGCATTTATCCATGGGCACGTACTTTATTCAGTCTTTAATGACGGGAGAAACAGGGATAGGGAGAAGACCTGGCTAAACCTGTACTGATTTAACACTTCACTTTCTCTTTGTTTTCTTTCATCTCCATCTACTGGCCAGAAGCAGCTTTAGCTGGAGCACAGAACGGCTGAAACACAGCCACTGCATCCGCACACTAACTATTCACAAAAATTGGCAGTTTTGGGGGCTTTGGTGTTTCTTTTGGTTTGTTTGTTTTCCAGGGATACCAACTCTCTAAACAGACACAACTTCACAGTAAAAAATTTCTCTTGGCATTTTATTCTTAGGTATTTTAAAATGGTGATGTTGCATAATTTAGTTCAAGTAATATAGGCAAGGTTAGCTTCCCTGATTCAATATCCTGTGTTCCATAATTTCTCACTGATCTGAATACAAATGTGAATGTAATTCCAAGGGTTTTGTTTTTTGGTTTTTTGTTTTTTTTTTTTTTTTTTTTTGGATTGAAAGATTAGCATTGGTTTTTAAGACAGTATATGAATTGAGTATCAAACCTTTTAATTAATTTACAGAAAATCCTATCACCACCAGACACAAGATAGGCCTGTGCAGTTATTAAGGAACAGCATTTTGTTAACAGCACATATTACATGAAAAATTGTACTTCAAATATATTTAAAATAAAACTTTCTGTTGCCTCATAGGAAAAAAACAGCCACATATTTAGTGTAGAAATAGTAACTTGAAGAAATATCCCCTTTCTTTTTTGCTTCTTACCCACCATCAGAAGACACTGGCCATCTGCAGTAGGTGGCAAGCAGTGGTAATGGTGTTGGCTAAATGAGAGACAAGTAACAACCTACAGAGCAAAAGTGACTGAAGTTAAACTTGTAATTCCCATCAGTCACCAATAAGTTGGGAATATTTCACTATATACTCCTGGATACTGGTCCCTTGAAGAAATTCTGCTGACATGTACCCTCCCCATTCTTCTGGAAAAAAATTCCATTCCATCAATGAGTATGGCTCATCTGGTGTCTCAGGGGAGCTTTGAACCTCTTCTGCTGGCAAGAACATACAAAAACCCACAAAAAACCCAAACAACAAAACAAAAAACAAAATAAAAAACCCACAAAAAAAAAAAAACAAAAAAAAAACAAACCACACACAAAAAAAAAAAAAAAAAAACCAAAACCCCCCCCAAAAAAAAAAAAAAAAACCACAACCCACCCCAAAACAAACCTGAACAAAACCAACAAACGTCCTTAAGTGAAATTCCACTACATGTACCTGTCTGCATCTAGTGTTACACCAGCACAAGTTATTCTTAAGCCCAGAGAGGTAACAATACTAAACTCAAAAGACATGCTGATTTCATGGTTTAGCACACAAAAATTCCCTGCACCTGAACTGAAGTCATGGGCAGCCTTTGGAGTGATAAAGCAAAATCAGGAAAGTCAAAACTGACTTGTACCTCCTAGGTCCTACGTTTCCTTCCTGAAAACGTGCAGAAAGTTTATCACTGCTCTGAACCAGAATGATAGGAAATGATCTGTTGCAGAGGTTGTAGAAACGGTCTCCCCACAGCAGAAACTGCAATTCCTTATCTCCTAACCAAAGAAATGAATTTCACACTAACTCCAGCCTTGCAGGAAGCCCTGCTTTCAGCTAGGGTAGCATAAATTTCTTCCCAGTAGCTGTTACAGTGCTGTGTTTTGGATTTGGAATGCGAATGTTGTTGATAACACACTGATGTTTTGGTTTTTGCCAGGTTGTGTTTATCCTGAGTCAAGGACTTGTTTCCCCTTCTTTCTCTCATGCTGTGCCAATGAGGAGGACACAAAAGAAACTGGGAGGGACCTTATCTGGGACAGGTGACCCAAACTAACCAAAGGGACGTTCCACACCACAGAATGGCATGCCCAGTGTATAAACTGGGGGGGTTACTGGGGGTGGCTGATCTGGGTTTAGGAAGGTGGGTCTGGAATCGCTCAGTGGGTAGTGAGCAATTGCACTGAGCATCATTTGTTTGCTCATCAGGAGGAGATGTCCCAGGCTGCCGCTCCCATGCTGATTTCCTAAATAGGCTCAGAAGAGCTGAGAGGTGATGTGGCTTCACCACCAGGTAATGAAAAAGATCAGATTTAATTCAGTGAGCAAGATCTGTGAACTTGTGACAAATGTTAAGACCAAACATTTAGGCCTCGTGGGCTGTGAGGAACAAGATACTACCTTTGAAAAGCAAATACTCTGATACACAAAAGTGGTTGAAAACTCGAGACAAACCCAGATTTCAACTGGAATAACTGTACTGTGGCTGAGGTTAGCATTTAGTACTCAAAGATAGGAAACACAGCTTTCATGTGTTGCCTCCATTCCTCACTTCTCTTTTGCTTCAGAGATGCTGTAGAAGCCTTTTCCTACCAAATTCCATGACTTCTATTCAATATTGAGCCCATACCTTCAAGTCTCAACAGAGGTTATCTCTCTGTCCTGAGAGATGTTCTTTCTTGAAGCAACACAAACATCTTCCCAATAACCAAGAAGGGAAAGGACCTGTACTAGATAGACACTTAGATCCTGTTTATTGCTTCTTGGAAGACAACAAATGCATTTCTTAGAATTTAAGGTACCATCGAGCCCCACAAAAGTAAGTAGCATTTTCTAAGTTAGCAAAGGAAAAGCAAACCAAATTACTGAATAGCAAAGGATAAGGCTCCTCCACAAAGATGCCCAACAAAATACTTCAGAGCTGTGAAAACACATGGTGGCAAGTCCTTGACTTTTGTATTACTTTTGATAGCACCCTCATTGTATTTTGAAGACTCAGTGTATGTGTGCACCCCTGCAGATTCCACTAAGGCAAAAACAAAGCTCCAGTTCAAGAGCCTGAGGCAGCTGCATAGCCAGTACAGACAAGCATACACAGAGTCAATAGGAAATTCACCTTCCTCAATTCTTTATTTCATCAAAAATTCCAACTGTGCAACACGTCTTAACTCTCATGCATGTACTTCATACATGAGACTGACAGATCTAGATGTGTAGAGAACAGACAACATTTGGCATAACAACAACTGTTCTATGCTGGGGAACACCAGCCCTTGCACTCAGCACTCAGCAACACTTGGAAATCTCTGCAGGGAAAAAAGCAATGACAGAATACCTCAGCGGTACACAAACCCCATGTTGTAAGCACGAAGGCTACAAGTCACTTTCTTACATAGATTTGGCACAGATTCCCTGGGGGATCTTGTAGACAAAGCCAGGTAAAGGAGACTTGACATTCATCTGCATTATTATCTGTCATGACCAACCTAGAGCTGCAAACACAAAGTAGCTTCACCTTCAGAATAAGAACAGGTGAGAGTTTAGCTGGGAACTCACCCACACTTCAGGGAGATGAGCTGCTTTTGAAAGCAGTGCTCATGAATGCTAGTTACTCATATGCTCATTAAACAGGCTAATGGAACTCCAGTCCTGGAACACCTGCATGGTGTTCTCTGGCTGTGCTTTTGTTACTGAGCGCAATGTTGAGCACTTTTGTGTGGATGTCTAGGTGGGAATTGGTACCTCTTTGATCAGGCACAGTGAAACACTGCTATTGTTTGCAGTGCTCTTCACGCCACACTAGGTACTTCTCTCAACCCACGCAATAGCTGAGCAGTTTGTTAAAGCAAGATTGGAATTATACCCAGGAAAAATGGTTGAATCAAAACTACCTTTCTCATATCAGTACCACAGTTTAAGATTACTTTGGCTCCTTCATAAAGATATCACTTTATTTTTAAAATAGATAGCTGCAGCTAAAGCTACCATTCTACTACTATACCTTCTTTGGGCAACAGTACTTAAGTGCAATGAAGAACAGGAACAGTTGACTGCTTAAAAATTCAATATTAAGGAATAAGAAAAGCCAATATAAGTGATCCAGACAGCTTTTAAATAGGTGGGAAGGGAGCGTAGTTTTTAAAGCTTGTACAGATTGAGAAAATGCCACAGAAGCTTTTGGATTAACCCTGACAAATTCAGTGGGGACAGGCAAGAAAAGATCTCCAGGTAGACCTGGAACCAACCTACCTGTCAGGCTGACAGCAATTCACTCAGTGCCCTTTGCTTTGATCAAACGATTAACAGGGTAAAAGCAACTGCACAAAGATGCTCTGTGCTGGCTCTAGCACACAGAGCAACCCCTTCTCCTGGTTCTATTTGTTCTCAGTTTCTTTGACTAAAAGAAGGTAAGAGGATTACAGCTGGTCCATTAGGAGAGCAATTCAAATGCTGCGTATGTTACAGAGAGCCAAAGCTGACACTCTTTCTGGGAAATGCCAAATGTGCTACAATTCTCACCACACAGTCCAAAGAAAGGGAAAAAAAATCTAAGCTTTAAGATCTGAGAAAAAGTACAAAAAGTTTTCTGCAGGGCAAAATTTACATGTTTTAAACTGAGGGGAAATTGAAATAACAAATACCTAAAAAAACAAACCCCACAAAGAAGAAAGATGATGGGTAGAGTATAGCAAAATTGTTATTGTTAGGACCAGCACTTGAGATAACTGACATGACTTACTAGTTCTCTCACAGTACTGTATCCAGTCCTTAGCATCCATCTTCCAGATGCATGAATGCTTGAATTTCTGTAAATAAGAGATTACCAATACTGAACGAAATGAAAACTGGAACAGCACTTTGTTGCACTATTTCAGCTGCCTCTAAACAAACTACATTGTCAAGTTCTACGGTTAAGGCAGTTTGTCTCACAAACCTTTGGGTACAGTGGTCCTGGGCTGGTTTTGGTACACCTCATTCTTTATCTTCTTTTCTGAAACACTTTCAAAGGCAAAACTAAGTTTATTCTTTAGTATAAGAGGCATTCATTACATGTAAAGTTCTGCCTTTTCTTATTATAAAGGAAGAAAACTTATACTCTCTTTGTGAAAAGATCTGTTTCAAGAGACAATTGAGATCTTCTTGAAGAACACTTCAGTAAGAACTTAAGTTTTTAAAGATCAATGCATATATTAACAGCTTTAAGTAACAGAGTGGGAAAACCTCACTCACCTTTGTCAGAAATCAGATACTCTGTGCCTGTGTTTGCTGGTAGATGATGTATTGCTCTCAAAGTACCAGAAAAGACCTGAGCAGGTTTTTTTGATTCTTTCAGGTTAGGCTGTCAACTGCATGATTGCTTTAAACAAAACACAGGCTACTACAACAGGTTTGCTGCCTACCAGATCACGTTGCACATTTGCAGCTGGTACAACACTACATTTTATAAGTTAAGAAATGCAACTGCATCTGAACATGAAAAACATTTTAAAGTCAAGATATGTATATTTACTGTCACACAAGGAATGCCATTAAGTTTCCATTCTACACACTCAGGTGAAAAATTTGTTAAAAAGTCAAGAAACAAAAAAGCATAAAATCTGTAATAGGCAACAATATACAAAGTTTCATATATAAAACTGTGACTTGTATAGTTTGTTATTTTCATCTTTTCACAAGAGAAAATTAAAAGAACCACACATCACTGAACTTCTACACAAGCTTCTTGTGTTTCAATGTCATTTATTGAGGAGTGAATGAGATACTGTCAGACATGCCAAAGAGACTTCACATTCAAGGGCTGGAAGCTGAACAGCTTTCCTCATTGAGTCACTGTACAAGTTGTTTTTGGGAATCGAAAGTGCGATCAATGAGGTCTTCATGCTCGATGTTTGTCTTCAGTTTTTCATCTTTTGATCTACTACCTTGTTGGGCAGAAGGACACTTTCTACCCTACAAAGACTCACACTCCAATTCATACAATTAACACTAGATGTAGAAAGGTTTATCTGTTATAACGTACATCTACTGCTGAAGGTCTTATGTCTAATGAGAAAATTCAACTTGTTTCCCTTTCACCATCGTATGGATGGCTGATACCGTTAGAAAAATACTCTTCAGTGCTATTGTAGGGTTTACAGGAAACTTCTTTCATGTTGTGGGATAGAAACTGATTTAAACACCGTTCTGAAAGAATGCTTCTTCCTGCTGCCACTGCCTGGAGGTTGCAGAAGAATGGCCTACACGCACTACAGTTCTGGTTTTACTCAGAAAAGAAACAAAAGAAACCTAAACAATAGGGTAAACGTTTATTTGGAGTTAGTTTTCTTGCAGATGATAATTAAGGCCCTTCAAGCAGAGTTCAGGAGCTCCTGTATGGCTGCCTGTTGATCTGCATTGAGCTGTGATATGCATTCTGTCCACAGTCCTCCAGATGTCTAGAAAAAAAAGAGAAGTGGTCTTTATGCAGCCTGAAAGTGTCCAAGGCACATCCTGAACTTTGCTAAGTTTACAAAGCTCAACATTCACTCAGCTCATTCCTGTAATATACATGCCAAAGAAATACATGAAATCTTCAGTGATACACAGCGCTACACAGGCTCAACTTGAGATGCTCCAAAAGGCTGAACAGCAGCAGAGTAATTGATTTGGAACTCCTGGGAACTCTCTGTAACAACCACGTGGGTTAACAAATGACACTCCTGTCTGTGTCAACCACAGCCTAAACCATGTGATCGTTTTGCACTGAAGTTAAAAGACCAATGTTCAGGCAAAACTGAATCACGCTTCTTCCACATGAGTGTTTTGGGCACTGGTGCAGCAGTAACACACTCAGAGCTTCAAGGTGAGCACTGGGATTACAGCATGATGTGCTACATGAGGGTGTGCAAAATTCTGCTGCCAACAGAGGGGCATGGTTCTGTAGTGAAAGGAAAGGTCAACTGCTTCCCAGAGAGAACTGCACAGCATCTGTCTGGGTAAATGCAAACCCTTCATCTGTGCTAGCACAGCCCTCAGCTGAGACATTAGCTTTTAAAGTCACCATCAGTGAGGACTGTTCTAATGGCACCAGAAAGATTGAGGAAAAAGTATTTACTCACTTATCAATAGAAACTGGAAGCAATTGGCACCCTGCTTTCTTTAGGATAATGAGAAGGGAAAAAAATTCCAGGTGATTGACTTTAGGTCTTTAGATTGGCTTTTGCAATAATGCATAATTTAAGTAAATAATAAAAAAAAGTTTAATTTATATTTGTTATATTTTACATTCAGTTCTATTATAATGCCTTTTTCTCAAAATTTAAAAAGTTTAAAAAATATAATATTTTTAATTCAAAAAATTAAAAAATAAATGCTCTCAAATGTAAGTTTGTGGGTTTAGTTTTAAATACCATTAGGTATTTTAGACTTTTAATCTATGATGAAATATTGCAGAATTAAATGTAGTCTTTCCAGCATTTTTTATACATATTTAAATTGATACTTTACACTGAAATATTTCTGGCCTGACAATACCTAAACAAAGAAGTTTATACTCAATTCCAATAATGACCATGTTGATCGTGTTAGACACTGGCAGTGAAACAGCTTACTGAGATAATTAAAAAAAAAAAAGTCTCCTGGAATCTGGGAAGCAGGAGCTTGTTAGCAACTCCACAACCTTGAAAATTCCTATCATAGTATAAGACTCTTACAGTTAAGTAAGAGTATAGAAGTCTTACAGCTTTACTAAAGTCAAAATACTGTGTGTGAAGAGAAATAGGACTGATAACACTGTGCTAAAATTGTATTTTTTAAAAAACATGACTTTTAAGATTTTGTTTTTCTCCTCAGTCCAAAGGTAAATCATTCAGCCAATGATGAAGGTCTTATATTAAAGTTTCTATCAATCCTGGCCAGAACCAGACATTGTTGTACACAACTAATCTATACGTGTATGTGCCACTGTATTGTTAAAAAAACCCAAATTTTGATGATTTGAGGTAAAGTGAACAAATGCATTAGGTAAATCCTAATACAAAGGTGCATTTCTAGACTTTCAGTACTAACAGCAAGGATTTCTATCTGTCAGCCAGAATCTAGAGCAGTCACACTACTTTCACTTTGAAACTTGCTCTATTTCCTTCTCTTTATGCCTTCAGAATTTTAACAACTTTTTCTACCAGACAGAATGGATCTCTCAGGCTGACACACTCATACAGGTGACTCGATTCCAATATCAAGTGTTCCTAAAGTTCTTGAATCTGAATTTTGCCAAAGCCGGTCAGGTAGAATAATTGAGCAGGTCAGGTAGCCAATAACTGAAGATCAGCTACATAAAATCCTCCATGCTTTTTTATGAGCAAGATGCTTACCAGGCACCTTTCTCTCATTAGTACTACACCCACCCAACAACATCTGGCCCTGGAGCAGATCTGCACTATCATTTACAGCACTGTAGAGAAGCACTCTAGTGTTTTTAGTGTTCTAATTTTAAGTACCTGGACATCCCCACCATCACTGACTCATTATGGCATAAAGGAAGTGAACCTTACAGCAGTTCCCCAAAGGCAGGGAAAACATAGAACAGCCATCTATATTTGCACAAGATTGAAAAGAGCAGTAGTATAATAACTTGTGCTTTGCAGTCGTTCTCTAACAAAGAAGTCAAGCTGCTGCTGTACTAGAAAGTCACCACAGGATGCTGGTGACCCTTACAAGAACCACATCTTGGATCAAATCCTGCAGTACAGTTCACTGATAAAAGGACACAAAGATTTCTCTGCAGATTCTAATTTCTGACTCAGAAAAAAACCCCACAAAAACTAATACTGGCTCACATATTAATCATCTCGCTGCATGAAAGTTAGTTATAGTTATTTTATTCAAGTGCAGATGTCACCAAGTTTTATCATTAATCATTCAAGGAACCTCAAAGGATCTCCAAGATCACTGGTTGAACCATTATTCTCTAAGGAGATAAGGCTCTCAAAATTGGTTTAACAGTTTAGTTCCTTCTGCAAGCAGATTCTAAATGTTCCCTTTATACTTCAGCAAGCATTTATTTACCTGCACTTGGCGAACAACATTAGCCAGCCGCTTGGTACATGGATCTTCATGTTTGATAGCTTCGTGGATTTCACCATCCGCAATTATACCAAGTATTCTGGGAAGGTTGGAATTGTTGGGACCGAGGACAATTGGGTTATTGCTGTTACAAAAGATATATTGCAAAGGAATTAATGTTTATCTAAAAATAATGTAAACACTCGACACATAAGTGAAGTGATTTTGAATGATCTTATTCTAAAGCTGCTTATTTAGGTTTCACACAGCTGAATAAGTACGCACAGCTTTGTTGCCTGCTGACAGCATGTTCCCCCTTCTTTTAATATTTAACCAACTGATTCTTTACTCAGCTTAAACTTTATCAGGAAGAAGTTCTGAACTTTACAGAATGGCTGAGTTCCATGCAGATGGAACTGTAAATAGTGTGACAGAAATACCCTGCCTGAAAGGACTTAATTCTTCTCTCTGTGCCTCCCAGGACATTGTGTTACTGGAGTCAGGAGCGCTGGTAACTTCAGCTCTCTGCCAGCACTCTCCATGACACAGCAAGCAGGCAGTTCTGCTCCCTCTTTCCCAGCCAAATGCTGGAGTGGAGGAGTATTAGCAACCAGGAATTTGTGTGGAACACATGATCTACTTCCAGCCCTGCCCCCTACCGTTGCTGGAATGCAGAGGCTGTGAACGTAGCACTGGCAGAGCTCCAGAGAAGCAGGTAGCCAGGCTGAGCCACCTGCACAGAGGCAGGTACACAAGTGTGCTGGTACTGCAATTCTCAATGTTCCTGTTCACATGCATACCTGGCAGCATTATTATGGTGTCTGTCATCTGTATCTCACTGTTCTATAATCAGTCTAGGGACCTCAGTTGCCATTTTGAGACCCTGCCTTAATAAAGCACCCAGAGATACAAGGTATTCACAAAATAGAAAAGACTGTAAGAAATCTAAGTTACTTCCCTTATATTTTTCTCCTAAGATGTAATACAGTTCCAGCCACAATGTGCTTACTACAAAACACCTCAGAGGCTACATTTTTTCACTCATTTATGAAGTGCATCACACTAGAATAGCTGTTTACTTTTTTTCTTCCATTTTACCTACAGGAGGGAGCACAAACCCAAAGAATAAACTGTGGGATAAGACGCTTTCAATGATAGCTGAAATAATTATTAAGGGAGATAGCACTGTACTATGAATTTTTCCATATTATTTCTCTTACTTTATATTCCACTTTGTTGGAAAGTAAAAGGGTGCAAAACTACTTAAAAGAAGGCTGCAAGAGCATGTGTGCTGCTTTTAAGAGGAAAAACCTGATCAGTTACTGGTCATGATATGTAAGCAGAGTATCAAAAATTTTTCCCGAAATTTTCTGTAAAAGTTTTCTGCAGATCCTTTGTCATTATGGATATATAAAGCAGCCAGGATTTTTTTCCCAGCCATACAGATGCTATTTAGGACAAGAACAGTAACTGTTTAAAAAAGCAGAAATAACATCAGGAAAGGCTCAGTTCTGACATTTCTAATTATCTTCTCTAAACTATATGTAGATTAACCTCATAGTTTCTCAGTTTTGGAAAAAGAGGGCAAGGAAAGAGCATGCAAACAGGCTTACTTTCTGCATTAGTGTGAAGACACTGCCTTACCTCTCAAGTAAGTCACACAGATAATTGAAAGTATGAACAGCTTCTTCTTTGTCTTCATGAAGTGGAAGCCATGATAACCAGTGTGGAAGGACTTCTTCAACATTTATACAGTCAGGTTTGAACTTCATTATCTTTCCTATTGCTGAAATGCAGTTTTCTGTTGCATTGACATTCTCTTTGGCTTTGGCATCTGGTGACTGAATGACTCTCACCAGCAATGGAAGCGCCTCTAATTGTTAGAAACACAAGAATGAAGTTTAACTGCACAATCAAGCTATACTTTATTATTATCACAAATTCTACTTGAGATGATTGTATGTATTAAAACCAGGATTTTTTTGTGTTCCAAGCACTAAAATATAATAATTCCAATGTTCCACTGCTTCTAAATTCTTCTCTGCTCAATAATTACCATATGAAAACCAAACAGATAGATAAAGCTCTGCAAAGAAACAGAAGAAAACAGCTACTGCAAAACTTTGAATTTGCTTTAGAAGTTCAGAAGAAAATAATCTTCCCATGTCTCTCAACAGGAGTTATGCAATCTAAAACACACAGGACACTGTAGATAGATGGCAAGCATTATCTCTTTCATTGAATATGGTCTATAAACACAGGAGGAGGAAAAGCATTGCTACAGTGACATTCTCTGTGAATGTCACTCCTTCATTCACTGTGAACTTACAGTGCACATCCTCAGTGTATGCCTGCTGTGTATCCTGTTGCTGGTGGGCATATCTGAATATAAAAATATGTGTGGATGTACACATAGACACCTCCCACCACTAAAAGGTGCCCTAGGAAAAGGTCATAGGAGTAATCTCACCTGGTGAATCAACTTGGCATAGTTTAGATCATAAAAATCAAGGAAAGGAAAAGTCTTTCAATAGAGGAAATATGCCAGTTTTCTTCCTAGGTTAATAGCAATTATATTTTTTTAAACAGTCATGTGGGTAACAACACCCTTCTAAATGAACATTAATGTCACATTTTTAGCTACTAGTGTCCATGCAGACTTCCAAACACACTACATGCAAGCAGGAACAATTGTCCAAGTGTCCTTCTGCTAAAAATAAAATGCTAAAGCTGTGAAATTCTCTATCAGCACAGTAAGCAGGTAATGGAATTGTACAGAAAGCACACTTCAAAATAACTCTAATTACTGAGGAAGAGTAAGACCTCAAACTTCTGAATTTTGATGAGTAAGTAGAAGCTTTGCAGTTAAAGAATATACAATCCACTTTCTATATTAAGTCTGCTGCATTAGATTTTTGAAGAATTAAGCAGCTATGGAAAAGCTGTTAAACATTACAGAACTACAGAAACATCAGACCTGCTAGCTTATGTGTACTGAATGCAGGATAATCATGCTTCTTTTGACAATGGAAGACCCATCTTCTGTAATGTTATGCTTTTCTCCAAGGACTGACTGCTCTGACATCTGGCACCACCCAGTTTTGAGGCCACTGATGTAATTTAGGAAGAAATCCATGCAGTTGATTGATACAATTTTCACAGAGAACAGCTAATTATATTCTTCCACCAACATAACAGAAGCAACCTTGCCAGTTTGATCAATTGTAACCTTGTATCCCCATTGAGAAAGTGACTTGTTTTGCTGTAGTTTTTCCTTCCATCATAGTTGATTGCCCTTTATGAAATCTAGTTTTTGACACATTTGTTTCATCAGGTAACTCACATGCCATTTACAAGTTCTGGTTATATTCCTGGAATTTTTAAACTGACTGCCAGAAATGCTTATATCAATACCTCTGCTTTTTCCGAAAAGTATTTACATACTCTTCAAACTTGCAAAAGAACAATACGCCAGTGCTATATATCAACCAGTAAAGAAAATAAGTTAAAAATAAAAACAGACATGATGTTTTTCAGAGATACAGCAAAACCTATGGGGTAGAAAATGTCTCATGACATGGATTTGTTTCTAATCACAGCATATCTTCATTTGTTAAAATAAATCACAAAGTTCTTTCATGTATGCACTAAAGGATTTAGAATACTTTTGAGGTATCTGCTAAGAAACTGTATGCTGTAAAGCTGAAAGTTTATTTTCTCTAAAATTCCACTTAAGGAGAAGTCAGGTGTCTGGGCATAATCAAGGATTATTTGTCCAAGTACAAAGAGAAGGATCAAAGATTTTACAAAGTTTAAGTGGGGTAAGATAAAGTGTAATTAATGAAAAATAAAATTAGACTTTAACAGATGCTAAAAAGCTCAAAAAATTTCAAAATCAGAACTGTCTAGACAATTCTAAATTTTCATGCTCTTAATGATTCATTGCAAGGCTTCCCACACTACTTTTCCTTTTCTTTTCAAAAAGACACCTTATCCTGATTGTTATAATGTAACAGTTACATTAAAAATGAAAATTACAACTCTGATTTATGTAGGCAAGACTTGTGTCAATCCCTACCAGATGATTGTTATTTTCTTACATCATCTAATTCAGCTTTCATTTAATATTCATATTAATGAATATGAATATTAAATATGTGAATGAATATGTGAATATGAATATGTGAAACACATATTTTAAATACATACTTAGATGACTATATATTTTCTTAAAAAAAAAGAAAAAACCCTTTGATAGGGGGTGCTACTTAGTGTGCAAAATTAACTTTGGTGACTGGCAAGAAGAGTGCAAGCAGACAATAATTTCTTTAGATTTAAGATGAATTTGAAGTTTCAAAGAAATGTGAAACATTCAGAAGGAAAGCAGACAAAGTGTTTCTGATAAGTACTCTCACACCCGTTTCACTTCTTACTTTACAGAAATCAGGCTCCTTTTTATATAATCAGAAAGCAAAGAGCCACATAAGTCATATTCTAGGCTATTCCTTAATATATGTCTCTTGTGTAGTTTTTCCAGACATCCAAAGGCTTTTGCATTAATATGTAACCACATCAACATTAGCAGAAATCATCTATGAGACAGCTGTGTATCAAAAATGTTTTTTGTGAAATTAACATTTGCATGCCAGATCATATTTTAAAAAAGAATATGTAAATCAAGTTTGCTAAGCAGTCAGTGCTGCAACAGAAATGCTACTAAGCAGAACAATAAAAGCCTGAGGAACTCGGGTACTTTATCATTCAATCCATCACCAGGATACGACCCATTGCACTGCCAAGGGGAACAGACCTCACCATCAAGAGGTGAGCCATTCCTATTCCTTCCCGCCAGCCGCGGCGCTCAGGGCGCCCGGCGGCCGGGGTCCGTACCTGGGCAGACGGGCCGGTAGCTGTCCCCGCCGAACTGCGCTATCACTCCCACTCCGTAGGCAGCCGCCTGCCGCACCTCGGGGCTGCTGTCACACACCGCCTCCAGCATGGGCCGCAGGAAGTACTCGGCGTACTTGAAGGAGGCGGGGCTGCAGTGCTCCACCACGTCGTCAAAAATGCACAGCCCCCACTGCCGGTCCGGCCACGGCCGGTGCGGACACTGCGGCACAAACACCCGACAGCTGAGACACCTCGAGTTATCGTACAGCCAATGATTACACCAACAACAGTCACAGCACAGCGGTCTAACACTTCTGTTAACATCTTCGTGGGCTAAATTCAATCCTAAAACCATGCAATTTGCAGGAGTGATCGCTCCAGCAATACCAAGAACAAAACAATACCCAGGTGTCCATCTTTGCACCTCTGTTTCACACTCCATTACATGTATCAGTCTCAATTTTTCCCCACGAGTCTGCAACACTTTTTTGTCCCTCCTCCTGAAATCCATTTTTGAGATACTGGACAGTCTCTCAAGGAAATTAAATTTCTCAAAACAGTTGTGTGTGTCAGCAATCCTGGATCTTGCAACACAGATTTTAACAGCACGCAGCGACCCTGCTCAGAAAGCACAGGGTAACAACTTCATCCTTGAGCTAGAATAAACCTTCTATTTTGTAAAACAGTAATTGCTACATTCTATCTACCAATTTCTCTACAATTTCAGCATGGAAGGCATATTTAATGCATCAGAAAAAAATAACTAAATTCAAATTAAAGAAAAACAAGGTACTTACAATTAGGTTGACAATTAGTGGAAGCAACCTTTCAAACCATGGCAGTACCTTCTCCTTGTAACTACTGAATATTGAGTGCAAAATATCTGATACTTTAGTCAAAATATAAACATCACTGTCATCCTGAAAGAAAAAGGATACAATTCACATGAAGACTAACAATCTTTAATGGAGTGGAACTCACTTAAAGTGTTAAGGTGTCTAAACTAATGGAAAAAAGTGGGTTTATGACTTTTTTTGTAGTCCCAAAACCAATTTTTTTTTTCAAGTTCACTAATTTTCAATTATTTGTCTAACTGCAGAATGATAGAATAAAAAAATGGTTTGGGTTGGAAGGCACCTTAAAAATCATCTAGTTCCAAACCCCCTGCCATGGGCAGGGACACATCCCACCAGGCAGGGACACATCCCACTAGACCAGGTTGCTGAGAGCTCCATCCAGCCTGGCCCTGATCATTCCCAGGAATGTGGAATCCACATCCTTCTCCAGGCAACATGTTCCAGTGTCTTGAGGGACATCACTTGTTACTGTCATGTGGATATTGAGACACTGAATGCAACTTTTTAAACATGGCCATCCAGTCAATTCCTTATCTGCTGAATTCATCAAATATGGATCTCCTCCAATTAGTGACAAGGATGTTTTGTGGGACCCTCTTAAAGGCCTTACAGAAGTCAAGACAGATTACATCAGTTGTTCCTTAACCCATCACACAGTCACTCCATCACAGAACCCACTAAATTAATCAGGCATGATTTGCATTTTGGAAGCTGTATCAGCTGTCTCTAATCACCTCCCTGTCTTCCACAGCTGCCAGGGAAATGTGTTCAAAGCTCAGACTGGGCACAGAGTGAGACTGACTGGCAGTTCCAGGAGCGCTCCTTTTCACCCTTCTTAAAAATGTAAGTTGATTGCTTGAACTCAGTGGCCTAGGACTTGCAGGCTTGTTTCAGGGACAGAAAAATCAAATCAAGACAAAACTGTCTTGTGCAAATTTGCTGCTTCAATGGGTTCCCTTTACAAAAGGCAAAAGGCCTTTTTCCTCTTCTGTACCTTACCTTAAATACCCTAAGAAGCTTTTATGGAAAAATAAATGGATAACTGCCTTTGTGATAAAGACTGTAGCAAAAATATAACAAATATTATTCTATTCCTCTTGTTGTTTCAATTAATTGCTCACCTTGCCCAGTTAATACATCAAACTGGTTAAATAAAGAGCCTTACCTCAAAGCTATCAATTCAAGTAGAGGTGAGGATTATTCCCTGGACATACTTATGCTGGGAAAACTCTTAACTTTCTTCTACAGCAACTTCTGTTGCACTCAGTATGGTCCCTTTAACCAGTTTATACTTTAACAGGCAGGGAAAACAGTACAGCTAGTTTCTGGTCCCTAGTGACTTTCACCTTTCTCACCTGCTGGTGACAAACTAGTAACTATTTCTTGTGCAACAGGCAGCTTCCCACAACTGGATATTCAAACCCTTCCTAGTGAGCCAATTTCTGCATCATCAAGGCACAGCTCAAGCAGGAACCCTGGAACATGCACACAATGACATTAAGAGGCAGAGAACTGTTCCAGCACACGACAAGGTCCACCTAGCCTGGTACTGCCTGTTGATCAACAGCTGATAACAGATGCTTGGGGAAGAGAGTGTAACTCTGGCTTGGTGTATGCCTTCTGCTCTCCACCAAATCAGCAATTTACTTATTGCTGAAGTGAGAGCTGGATCTGAAACTACTGTTTGAACTTTCATGACTTCTGTGCTTCTTATATTTCTGCTGCCTTGAGGTAAAGGCTACATAAACATACTCTGAGACCAAAGGTGTACATGCAAATGTTACTCATTTGTTAATTCTGTCCATATGGCAAGTGATGTCCTCATCCCACACCTCCTTTCACAGGGTAATGCAGCCAAGTCTTTCTCCAGACTTTACAGAACAATCAGAAAACATTACAACATTTTTAAAAATGCCTTGCAACTCTGTTGCAGAGTGGGGACTCAGCTTTTCTGAAACTGCTGCCTGCTTGCATTTTCTCTCAGTACAGAGTGACACACAGGAAATAAAAGGGTCTTGGAGGCAACAAAAATATATCCTCTTGAATGCTGGCCTAATTCTAAAAAGCCTAAAAAGAGGGTCAAGAACCGCACTGTTATTTAAGACAGTATTTACATATGGGTATGATTTCTGGAGTCTGCATACAGGTTAAACTCATGTGATCAAGCTTCATACCTGCATTGTGCAGCAAAAAAATTCCTTAGTTCTTAAATTTACTGAGCCTCCTTTGTCTGATGTTATAAGCAGCAGTCATTCATTATTACTCTCTCTCCATACTAATAATGATTTAATAAAATTATTGTATCTCTTCTACAATCACATCCACTTTAAACTGTTAACTCACTTTGGTACCCTAGTGTGTAAGTAGTTAAGTAGTCACTTTGGTATTCTCTCATAAGCAATCACATGATGGCAGCTGTTTATCCTGCTGTCTTTCTGTTTTTGGGCTATTCTTTTCGAGAGAGGCTACTGACATGACACACCAGATGTCTTGGGATCAGAGGTATAGAGGCTCAAGGTTAAGAGCCACCCAGCTTGCAAGGCTCAAAGAAAAAGCAAGTCAGCAAGGCCAGACCTAAGGGACGACCTCATTGCAGCCTACAACATCCCCACTGAGGGAAGAGGAGGGGCAGGCACTGATTTCTTCTCTCTGGTGACCAGTGACAGGATCAAAAGGAATGGCCTTAAGTTGTGTCAGGAAAGGTTTTGGCTGGGTATTAGAAAAAGGTTCTTCCCCATGAGGGTGGTTGGGCACTGGAACAGGCTCCCTGAGGAAGTGGCCACAACATCAGCCTGACAAAGCTCTGGAAGTATTTGAACAATGTCTGAGGCTCATGGTGTGACTCTTGGGATGCCCTGTGATGAGGCAGGAGGTGGAGTCAATGACCCTTGTGACTCCCTTCCAACTCAGCTTTTCTGTAATTAAGTACTCTGCTGTCAAATCTGTATCAGTGTTAATATCATCCAAGAATTGTTTGAGCAGATGTAGAAAATAAAAAGCTATATCCTGAACTTCTTACTTACGCATATCAGACAAGGAAACCTTTCATATTTTCTAATTAATAAATGAAGTGTGACCCATTTCTTACTGTTTTGAAAGACTATGGTAGCAAGATTCTTCTATGAAGAAATAATTCTGAGGATGCATTATGCCCCCAATGAGTCAAAAGCATATTTCTACAATATTTCCATCCTGCTGCTTGTAGAGCAGAAAAACTCTTCAAACTAACTTACTTCATCTTGTAATGACTCTTCAACTTGCTCATCATAGTCTTCATCTTGTCTTTTCACTAAATTAAAAGAAAAAAATTAAACCACTGCCTTTCTATAAGTGCGTAAGAAGCCTGTGAAAGGGAAAAATTATGCAGAAACAAATTTAGAAAACAGGAAACAGTAGCTGAAGATGAAACAGGAATTTTCCATTTTTAAGAAGCTTCAGAAGACTTTCACAGAAAAGGAGGAAGTACAGGATAGTCCAGTTTATGAATGTGCAAAAATGCACATGAAATAGAAACAAACACACCAGCTTGTCCACAAAGACAAGACAAGAAGTGCTTAGAAACAACAAACTACTACTGCTTTGAGAAAACTGCAGACTTCAGATGAAAAAAAAACATGGAAATGATAACACCACAGATGTGCACTGTCTTCCAAGTAAATCTGACATTAACTTTTGATTAAACTACTGTATTGCTGAAAATTATGCCATCTTTATCCTCCAAGACCTCACAAATACAACTAATGGATTCTCTTGGTTCACAGTCCAACTACTTTACCTAAATATACAAAACAATGCAATTGAAACAGTTTTTTTCTTTGTGTTCAGAAATAATAAGAAATTCTGCTTTAAAGAACAGCCACATCCCATGTTAACAGGATTTGTGTTAACTTACCCTGTCTTAATTCTTGATTTTTAAAGTGCTCTTCTAGTTTTTCTTTCAGTATTCCTCCAAGTTCTTCAAAGTGTTCGTTGTTAAGGCATCCATCTCCCATTACCTCAATGCACTTGTGAAAAAAAAAACAAGCAGTTTTTCATCTTTAAAATTTAACATGAGCAGTCTTAATGAAATCTAAGCACACAAAGAATATTAATACATACTCTGGATCACTAGCAGGAATAATATTAGAACAGTCATAATGTAATTAATGCTCAAATTATACAAGTAAGGCACAGTACCATTGTACATTTCATACCCGTAATTTCAGTTGCTCATGGTTAAAATGATAAAATTTGGTAACTGTTTTAGGTTACTACTTTGGTGTTCTTGCAAAACAAAATACAACTTTTTCCAACAGCTGTAACAACATTTATAGTCACAACAAATTTCCTGTAGAGGAAGCCTTGCATTTGTTCGAGCCATTTAAAGGAACACCAAACGTGTCCCTTCTTATTTCAAAAAGCTACAAACAGTAACACCATGAAATTTGTAAGAACGTTACCTTTGCAAAAGAATGCATTATTTCTGAGAGGACATCAGACTCTGGCTCTGTCCCAATGGCTTTGATGAGAGCATCACACATGAAGTGCCACATCTGCGTCAGGTACTCCGGCCCACGAACCCGGGCACATTCAAGAAGGAGGGGCATCGACTCTGCGGCTGCCACTCGGACACGTGCCATTATTAAGGAAATACAGCCAGCAACACCAACCAAGTGCTTAGAATTTAAGACCCCACCACCATAAAGAAGTTCCTGGTTTCTTACCCGAAACTCATTTCATTACAATCCATGCATTTGATTTCTCAATTATATATAGATAAAATCATAGGAAAATGACACTGCCTGCTCTTTAGAAATGGTTTCAAGCCTGTTTCAGGATATGACAGAAAAGCTGTTAAGTTCTCTTGTGCTTTTTTACACAAACATCGCTTTTTCTACTGATTGCTTATTTAAAAAGAAACTAGGGGGAAAAGTAGGAATACATTGCCTAAAATAGGGTGTGTAAACCAGCATTCTCTGAAACCATTTCTGCTATGAAGTCACAGACTATTTTAACACTAACACTTGCAATTCATTTAGGAAAACAGCAAGCACAATTTTGATTCTAAGTTTCTGTTTTCACAGTAGAATTTGTTAATAGGATATCATCATGGAAATAGAACTTCAACAATGGAACCATCAGCTTTACAACTTGCTCTGTGTATTCCACAAATCCTTCTTTTAGCTCTTTTGCATAGCAAACCTGAAAAATAGAGCACAGATATGCCTCTTTTAAGGGATAATACTTACATTTTTCAACTATGTGAAGGTGAGAGGGAGATTGTTAAAAGTGTAAGGGGTTTTTTTTAGCTTATTGTAGAAAACATGGAATAATCCATTTCCCTTCCCCCTCAACTGTGGTAATTTGAGACACCCTGACAGCAGCATGAGTTCTCACTCTTAGGGCATGCATGTATTTTTCAAACTAAATTCCAAAACAGCAACATTTGCAAAAAGGAACTACTTTTTAACATATCCAATTTTTTTTAAGTTTTGTTAACAAAGGAAAATCATCTGTTAATTTAAAAAATCTTACACTCCTAAGTAAATAAACTGTTTTTAATCAAGTAAACCACACACAACTAAGTGCCTGTAATCCCAACTAAGCAGTATCACCCCAAATACTCTTTCATGTGAGACAAAAAAGAATATTTTGGTTACAAATTTTGGCTTCAGACTTGATTGACCAGAAACACATAGATGACCAAAACCAATTTATTACTCACCAGCATTTGGCATGCGGTTGCTTTTTCTTCAAGGCCTGCAGTTTTAATTCCAAAACTCTGCTGATCACCTATGCTTACAAATTCCCAACCATCATCATCGCTCATGTTCTCCATATCTTGTGCTGTTATACAGAGGGGAGGAAAAATAATCAAAAAGTGCTACAAAATAATTTATATCAGAGTTCTTTTCAAGCAAAACATCATCTTAAACCTACTGTCTAAAAGAGCTACTTCAGGTTTAATGGATGCAGTCTTCATTAAAGGTCCCATGACAACAGGAAGATACTGCTGAAATTCCTTTCCAAGAATTTTACACATTCTGGCCCATGCAGAGATCATGTAAGAAATCTAGAAGAGAGAAGGCAGAATTTTCAAGTCCCACATTTTATTTTAATGCATATTTAAAAGGAAAGTGTGAAGGAAATACATTACACAATAGGACTTTGCAAAAGAATTTGTCAGCAGTCCCTAAAGCTTATTTCAAAGAGAAGTAACCCAATATGCAATCCACATAAAAATGCATCTTCAAAAGACATTCCAAGTCTAACAACACCTTGGCAGCACCTCTGACTGAAGTTGCTATACATGTAAAAATGCGATAGTGTAAGATTCATGATTGCATTGCAAGTGCCTGTTCTAAAAAATACTTTTTTTTCCTGAAATATTTCCCAAATTTGAACAGTACTACCAAGCCATGTTCCTAAAAATGGTAAAATAGAGCAAAAAGTAAAAAAGGGTGCAGTACTATGTTTTCAGAGGAGTATTTGTTTTCAAATATACAAGTTAAAATAGCCCTCTGCTCATTAGAGCAGCTGCTTAACAAGTCTTGTTGATCTATTTATAAGAAGGCAACAGCAAGCTCAAATTTCTTCTGCAAATATAGGTCCTGGAAGTCTCATTTCCTAACCATGCATCTGTGAAAGATTCTAGGGCCATCTCAATGTCAAGTTTTGTAAGACAGGCTGGACAACTAGCCTGAAAGGCCAGGGAGGGGGCAGAAACATCATGTACACAAGGAATGTTTTTAATACCAATGAGCTATAGAGACACAATTTTAACACACCTGTGGATCATCATCTTCTAGATCACTGAAGTCTGTTTGTGTCTTCAATAACAGCTGCATTACATCTGATGCATCCTGCATAAACTAGACACAGGAAACAACTACATTTTTAAAGGCAAATTAAGATGCTACTTCTCAGAGACTTAAATGCTCACTTAAATTAAACTTTTTCAGGCACCCACATACAAAACTAAGTTCCCTTTGAAATGCATACATTTTGCCCCTGACACTGCCTAAATGTGATGCTGTGTCATTTTAATTAAAGAAAAAAAAAATCACCAAAAAAAACACCTCAAAGGAAGAAAAAATTTTTGCTTTCAACATTTTTCAGTGTGACAAGAATTACTTAAGCTACAGTAAGATTCTATTGCAAATTTGTGAACCTAACCAGCAACACAGTCACCTCAGAAATGGAAACAAAGACAAGCATAAAAATCAGCAACAATATAGCTGTATGTTTAACAAGTGAGTATATTAATTCAGTGCCAATACCACAAAAAATAAAGGCATTATAAAGTGTATTTAGACCATTCTATAAAATCTAAGCTCACCTTTTCTTTGCCAACAGCAAGACCAATTAGACTGATGCATTCAATAGTCTTTCCTCGTAAAAGTCTTAATTCCTTCTGAACAGCATTTTCAACAATGTGTTTTAAGGAGGGCATAAATAAATCATAGTAGGGAACAAACTTCTCCTCCACCGTATCTGCAACTGATGCAATTGAAGTCACAACTTGCTCCAGAACTAGCTTAGTGCCTTTCTGTATCAACTTGGAAAGAAGAAGAATAAAGTGTTATATATTAAAAGCACACATTTTACTTAAAAGCCTGCCAAATGTAAAAATCTGCTTTTGCACATATGCTAATTCTCATCAGTTTAGACCAACACCAGCAGATATGTGTACTGGCTCATTTCTGAGGTCTTAGTTCAGCTATACTTATTCTGCTAATGTGACAAGGCTAACCCTCCATCAAATAATTTGCTTAATGTATTATACCTCTTGTAATTTTATCACCATAATGGAATGAAGATGCTTCACTAGATTATCCAAATACGGAATAAGCAGTGACTTGGGACAATCTTCAGTGAAGTTTATGAGTGCTGCAGCTGCATGGGCTTGAACACGCTGGCTGCCTTGATCCTCCATGGTTTGAAGAAGAGCTCCTATCACCTGAAAAAGAAACACTACTTTTCAGACAACAAGTTTCTGAAGGGGACGTAATTTTACCACCTGTTTTCCCTACTACTTTACTACTTGCCTTCTCATGAAATTTCTTTTGAAACCCAGGTGCAAAGTCAGTTGCCATTTGTCCAACAGCGTTACAAGCGGCGTATCTTACTCTGGGATGCTGAAAAAGTATTCCCGTTGAACAGTTAACAAGCAGTCACAAGAGCAGAAATGAAAACATTTTGATATAATTACTAGAACAATACTCACAGGATCCTGAAGGAATAGCAAAACGAAATTAACTATTTCATTTAAAATTCCCTCCATCTGTTGGTGGCAACCTTCTCCGATGGCAGAGAGTGCCATCAAGCCAGCGTGCCTGTACTTCCAGTCAGCTACAGAAGAGTGAAAATGAAGTATTACTCATTTTGGAAACTACCAAGGACCACAAAGATTAATCACCTTTTCTTTGCAGAGGCTGGCGGACACAGGAGGAGGCAGAGTGAAGAACAAGAGATGGAAGGAAAGTTAATACATCTACTTGATTTGTTAAATGCATTTCCATTTCCCTCATACATACTTCTAGAGATGCACAAAAAATTGAGTGTCTAATCCAGGCCAAATCCAGACCTAGAAAAAATAATTTTTAACTGCTGATACAAGTACATACATAGTACTAATACCTGGAAACAGCATTTTAATTAAATGAGCTGACCAGGCAAACATCAAGACAGTATTTTTAGTATTTTTATTTCCCTCTCCCCCATCTTTTTTTCTGTTTTAGTATCATTGGAAGAGCCCATATCTTCCTCAGGAAAAAGGTCTAATGACCCAAACAGTATCTGAATTTAAAACAAATAAATGACTGGTATTAAACTTTCCAGCAGTCTTCTCAAGGCTGTAGGAACAGCAACATTCAACTTACGATGTAAACTTTCCCCACCTCCAAGTCATATTAGCCTATTCTCAGAATAGTGAGTATTGTTGAAATGTATCTTTCATGCCCCTCTCTCTTTATTTTGAGTAACATGTGAGAAACTCCAATTTCTTTTATTTCTTTTTTATAAAAATCTTTCTCTGTGCTAGAAATCATTGGGATTATAGAAGAGGAAGCCACAGGAATAAACAGGTTTACCAAATGACCTGTGGGAAAGGCATGTTACAGAACTTATCTCCCAAAATAGCTCAGTATTTCATTATTGTTAATAACATTTTACATTCCTGGAATGAAGAACATCACAGTTCAGAGCAGTAGAATCCTGACACTCAAGCTTCTGTCTGACCAGGATGCGATGAAGTATCATCTTGACAGAAGGTACAACAGAAAGGCAGCAGTTTATTTTGTGCTATTTCAGTTCATTAGATGTTCCTAGTTAAGCCTACACATCATCACCCCCACTGCATTACTGTTAGCATGTATTCCAAACTTGAAATTAATGAATCTACAAAATGAAACACCATCTTCTTTGGACCATCTGGCCACTCAATCGAAACTCCAAAGCCTTAAATTATTATTTCTTACAAATAATTATAAGAAAGAGGGGATAATAGAAGGGAAAGTTTGACTTCTGAGAGTACTGTCAATGTTTTAACCTAAGTGTCTTCATCTTTCCTCCCAAGTCCCTACCAGGGAGAGCTACAGCAACATCTTCTTCATTTCCCTCTTCCAGAGAGTATTAATGGTTATGGACAGCTCTGACCCACAAGAAAACAAGCATCAGGCATGCATTTCATGACCTCCCTTTCACAGGAGTCAGGTCTTTCAGTGATGATTAGACTCTACACTTCTCTGAATGTACTACAAAATCAGCTAGTTGCTGGCCTAGAAGCTACCAACACTGAGGTTAGCTCATTTCATTAATAAAACTTTCTTTCAAAAAAAAAACCAAAACAAAAACCTTTTATTCCAAACAGACTTTGTAAGTGTTCACACACAGCAGGTGCTACCTTGAGTAGCCCTCTGTTCCACACCCAAAATGCTAACAGCCTTTTCTGGACTGGGTTTTAAACAAAGAAGGCAGAAATAGTACCCAGAACTTCTGTGTTATCTTCTACTCCAAAGGCTCAAACCACAGGTCAAGTGAAAGAACTTGAAAGCAATGCACAGTATTTTTTGTATCATTGGCTGAGCAGGCATTACAGGTATTTTAAGAGCAAATGAAGCATACAAAACAACTGATAAGAATATGTAGAAACACCTCAGGAAACAAGTACTAAAATCAGCACACCAAATAGACAGACAGCCTATACCAATGACCTCAGTCCATCAAATTCCAAGGGGACAAAAAAAAAATCAAGTTTTCCTCTATGAACTGTAACGTATTAAAACTTCACTTAAATGCAGCACTTCTGAAGAAGTAAAACCACTGAGCTACAGAAAAACAGGTGGCACTTGAGACAAACAAGGTACTGTGAGGGTCTGTTTAGGGATTTAGAGAGAATATTCTGCAATAGAAAAAACCCAAGTCTTCCCTTGTTTTTATATAATTCCCAGTGTTTTAAAAAAAATTGTTTTTATGACATCTCTGCTCAGCTGTTCATGTACCAGAAAAAGTGTTGTAATACACTCTATGTAAGTTTAATAAATGAGTCTAAGTATAAAATTTCAAGTTCACAGCATTTACAGTTTTTGCTGCTGACATCAAAAGTGGAAATGTATAATGACACATCAAGTACCTAAACACAAAGACTTAAGAGGTATTGAAGTTCCTGGAAAGCACAGAATTGTTAAAAAATAATAAAAGAAAATGCAGCTACTTACGATTCTGAAGCATTTGCATAATATGTTCTTTAATCATAGGCAAAACAAGTTTCCCTCCAAGGCCACATGCCATCCTGTCCAGTGCACTCTCACCAGCCACTGCATTGCTAAATATCGATTACACAAATATCAGTGGTTTGATATCTACAATAAAACAAGCAGTCCAGCAGAGAGCTCTTCCCTGCAGTTCTAGTCTTCAAACGTTTGTCATCTGAAGACATGAGCCTCTTTAAGTAAATAAACCATACCCAAATTTAAAAACACACACACACCAGTCACAAAATGGTTATTTACTATTCACTGAGACATTTGTTATCTGCAGGCCACTGATTAAGTCTGCTACCAAAGAAACTTGAGTCTTACTAGCACTAGGTCCAAAGGTACAGACTGAATTTCACAGCAGTTACATACACCCAGAAAGGTGAAACTAAATTTACAATGAATAATGTCGGCCATTCCTTTTTGTCACGAGAACATAAACCAATTCAGACTTGCTATGATTCAGGTGAACCAGCAGAATTCAAACTTTGGCACACCAGAGATCTTTCTTGGATGGCTGTACTCAGTAGCACGGTCTCTTGTCAATGACTCGGGCAGAAAACACCCAGTCCAGGTGAGGAATTTGTGACTCTTGGCCAGTTACAGAAGTTAGAATAGCCCAACATTATCTGTGCAAAGTGATTTGCTCCACCCAATGGAATTATTCCCTACAAAAAAGCAAGAAAGTTTCCAGGACACAGATAACTACTGTTACAGTCTGGGTATGGCTGGCAGTGTGGTAACTCAAGGTTATTACGTCCATCCTAGACATCCACGATGATGAAAACGTTGAGTAATGGTGCACAAAGGGATCAATCTCCCCTTTCTTTAAAGTTTCAGTCAGTTGGGTCAGAAACAGTCCTCGTATTACTATGCTTGCATCCCCACGTCTCGTTACGAACGATAAATAATCTAGAAACTCACAAGCTGTGAATAAAGGTGATTGTGAAACGATATTGACAGCATTGTATTTGTTCCTCAGATTGGTCATGTTCAAATAGACACATCACCAGCAGGACAATAGAGCATGGGCACACAGGGTTAAACTGGAGCAAACTCATTAAAGTTAACAGCAGCTTGCATCTGAAATTCCATTCCTTGAGCTTTCTTCCCACCATTAATTCACACATTCAGCCTCAAGAAACAAAGATAGTTTATCTAGAAAAATGACCACACATCTTCCTCTAATGTTCACAAGACTTTTGCCAAGAAAAGAGGAAGTCGGATTAATCTTTTCCTCCTTTAGAATTTCACTCCTTTATAAAGCTGAAGCAACAAAAAAATGGAAATGCTAAAGTATTCCCTGCTGCTTTTGTGTGGGCTGACTCATATCCCCATTCATCAGATCTGAACACACCCTAACTAGGGCGAAGCCCAGTGATCATTAGCCTGTTCCTGGGTCTGCACAAAAATTTCAGTCTTCTTATGAAGCTACAAAACTCGAGCACCAGGAGACGTTAGCATACACATCAGCCACTGAGCTCTCCACACAGCAGCACCAGGAGTGACCCTGCTAAAAGAGAAACTGTCCTCACACACACGATCACCAGAGACCAGCTCATGTGCAATAGTTTGTGTCTAAGCCTGAAGCTCTCCTATTACTTTGAGGGCCAAAGGAGCTCCTTCAGGCTAAGGCTGTTGAGCATAACTTGTTTTCTGATCTGTGCTCACTCTACTTGTGACTTCTAACAAAGAAAAGGAAAATTTTCATTACAAAATCCATAGGCAGCTAAGCTGTATTTAAAAGAACGAAGTTACTCTGCTGACAATAAAGAGAAAATGACATGCCTCAAGTGCATGATTCAGCATACTTACTAAGCTGCCTAGAGCAAGCCATCTGAATAAATTTCCACACCCTGAAAGGCTTGATAAGGATATGAACTTAAATATTCTATTCCCCCTTGAAATTTTATTGACTGAAAAGATTCAAATACTTAACAAACCTGAATGTAGTGGTGGTGTCTGACACCTGTATAGCAAAATTTCAGCACTCAGGAAACAGGTTAAAAGGGTATGGTCTACCATGTGTGGGAGAGAAGAAAGGACAGCTCACTTTCAATTTCATAATCAAAGAGAAGTAAAAAGATAATTTCAAGTAAGGCAAAGATTAAATGGATTATTCCATAAATTCCTATGCGTCAGTTCTACAGGTGTCTTTACAAGCCTGCTATCTATTAGAAGCTGTTTTACAGCTCAGGGTAAAAGAACATCTCTTTATTGTCTATTTTCCTACGAAGATCTCTAAGTGTTCTGAGATAAATTGTCTCAAAACACTAATTACATCTGAGTCTGGATGAGCCAAGTATGTCAAAGAAGTGTCTAGACTGGTAAATGAACATCCATGTCTTTACAGAAGTGTGGAGATAGTTACCTCCTACACCTATTTCTGCTTTCTTCCACTTCACTCTAACAGCAGCTGAACAAGAATAAATGTAACAGGATGCTGTATGCAAACCACTGTTTTAGTAAAAAGTTGGAGCAAGCTACAAAGCATGTAGGAATAAGCAAATCCAAATGACTGGACATCTTTAGACCTTTCTTGCCTAACACACAACAAGATAAGCTATTGCCAGCCATACCAAGGGATGTAAAATAATAGCAAAATTGTAGTATTTTTAGACTAGGTGAAATCCAACAAGGAATTCTGCCATGTATAATGACATCCTTCCAAAGTCATCTTTTTTTGAAAACAACACATTTTCAAGGGCATAGATACAGAAAAATACAAAGACATTGGTTGTGGATAATTAAACAGGTCAATATGTTTCAACATGGCTTCCAGCTAACTTCAGGATTAGCCTTCAATTTAGAGGATTAGGAGGCACTGACTTCTGAACTGAGTAATATAAATGACAGAAAAAACAAAAGCTAAAGGCTTTGAAAAGCTACAACAGTACAAAACAGCAAACATGGGGACATGCAACTTGTCTAATTACAGCAAATATGAAAACTGAAATAATTTACTTCCTTGCTGAACACTGCCTAAGTAACCTACATATAAACTGCTCATGACTGAAGGAACAAAATTACAATAGTTTTTTGAATAAAGAAAAAGTAATGACTACAGGCATTTGCATTCTGCACTTTAAATGTGCCTTTAGCCACAGCCTTGATAAAACATTGAAACAACTGGTTTCATAATTACCTGTCAAAATCATCATCTGCAAGCTCATCTGCATTTGCCCAATCTTCATCTTCTTCCAAGTCAACCATCATTGCTAACATCTGAGGAACTGAAAAAAAACAGCTTTAAACTCAGTCTGATCTCTTAAAATAGATTCTCAAATGAAAAGTATGAACTTCAAGTTTTCTCATTTCAAAAATTTTTGAAGAAAACCAGCTTTTCTTCCAGTAGCAGATGGTCAGGTCTGTCAAACTGCATTAGCCAATAATCCAGAACTGATTGCCACAGAAGTACTTCCAGAACATTCAAATTGAGAGTAAAAATCTTGTGTATAACCTACGAAAACTCAAAAATTTTTCGTAGATCATGACAATTATAAAAAAGCAAATTCCTTAATAAAGTCTATATTCGTGAAAGAGTTAAAAACAGTATTATAGACCTTAAGAACTCTGATATACTTCCTTAATTTTTCTGAAACTTTTACATCATCTTTTGAACATTTACTAATGAAAGAGACTATTAATTAAGAATACTACTGAACCCTTAGTTTTATTAGCATAATAAATTTTGTTATCTATTTATACAGTGGTCGCTTAGCATAAAGCTTTTCTCTTACAATGAGGCCATGGTTTAGAACTTGAGATTTCCTTTTTCCCACCTAATGCAAATTTTTCTTTTGTATAATGAACATATCTTGCACATTATAATCCACCAGTTTTCTTCTTCTACTTCTGTAGACTGCCCATTCTTCTCATTCTAAGTCTTTATAGAGAATATTACACAGTCTCTATCACAGCATTAAACTACTATGCAATCAGCATCAGCTATTCTTACCAGTTCTCACAGGAGGAAGGAGCACAGTGGTTTGTCTGCTCTAAGTCTACCAGTTGCTGTGCCCTCCAGAAGCACAAGGGATGAAAAGTCTACCTTGTACTTCCAGAGCAAAGTAAGGGGCTCTTAAGCACTTCTTTAGTCCCTACTACACACCAATCACTTAGAGCAGTTTGAATTTACTATTGTTTATGCAACAAAGTATCACTTTGACCTGGAAACAAAATGTTTCAGTCAAATACTCAACCTTCGACCTTTAACAATCTTTTTAGCACAGCCTACCACGCATCTTGAAGACAGCTACCACAGGTAACTGCCCTTCACAGCAACCTACCTGAAAAACTAGTAGGAATCTAGTAACTGCATGCTGCTAGTGAGATTGACTGGAACTGATCAAGTATACTGCAACTGCTGAATTTCATAATACACCTACAGTATTGTAATCTACCACAGAGACAACACCCTAAGCAAACTCACCACCACATATCTGGACACATGAGAAACTTCTGGTCAACTGATGACAGAAAAAAATATTGCTCACTGATAGCACAGTAGATCGAGTATCAAATATCAAATTATGGATTTATTTGCTTGATGTGAGTATGTATTTTCAGACAGAAAATATTCTATGACTATAGAAACCTCCAGAGGGCTCTGACGTACTATCAAGATAACTTAACACACACTATGGTCTCTCTAGCATGATGTCCACATGTCAGTTTTATATACACTGATCAGACCTCAAAAACTGCCCAAGTCCAGAAGATTTTCAGACACAGACACACAGAAGTACACACAGCAAAAGCATGGTTTGTCACAAAAGCTAAGGAATTTAGAAGACAAACATCATCAAACATAATAAATGCTCTGTGGCTCCAAAAAGTCATGTCAGTGTTTGTTGCTACTAACAAAAAAGGCTGAGAACACACTCATCCAACACACTCTGGCCATCATTATGTCTAGAACCTACAATTTCTTGCTTCTTCTTAATGTTTTGCATGAATGTGGCTGCCAGGAAGTGTAATTTCACAGAGTTTTTAAAAAAACGTAGAGCGTGCATAGAAATTACAACATTGTCCCAACAAGCCCTCAACATTTAATTACTGCTAATATATAGACTCTTACAAACAAGTTAAGCATAAGCCCACTAAGCCTGCTTCTTATCAGAGCAATAAAACTCTCTGCAATCCTGTGAGCTCAAGAAGGGAAGTCTTAATCTAAGTGGACTCCTGAGCAGCTAACCAGCACAGAGGACACACGTTCCTAAACCAGCACTGTGCTCAGTAAAACCAGCACAAGATGACAACTTTGCCCAAGTCCCAGTGCTAGTTGTGAGTATCAAGTGATCTAGCAACTTCTCCATTGAATGAAAACAGAAAGCCTTTTAAACTCAGATACAAAGCCAAGACAAAAGCAGTCCTTTTTTGCTACCTTTTTATCATTCCCTGAACACAACTGCTTTACCAGTTCTGCAAAATAAATGTCTTTCTCCTTAGTGATACATTAATAATAAGACTAATTTTACAATGAATTGCAAATGAAAGGCATTTCTTTCCCATATGGTGCTTTATCTTAATAGAAGTATTTCATTCCTAAACAGCAACTAGCAATCCAAAATAACAGGAATACATTCTAAAGAGGTAAGAGGTACTTCTCTCCTGAACAAATAAGAAGCTTGTAATGATGTGGGGTCAGCAAGTGTCAAGCGTTAATAATTCCAACAAGCTACAGGATGGAGGGAAAACAGAGCGTTCTGAAAATTTACAGACTCCAAAATATGTTCTAAAGAACCTCTTCTTTAAAAAACTATTCTACTAGCAAACAAAACTTCTCATCAATATTTTAACACTTAAGCCAAGCAGATTCAGTTTGCAACATTTTCCAACAGTAGTTTTATAATTTTAGAGACATCTATACAACTTTCCTTATGCTAAGCACACAGAAAAATTGTAGTATTTTTGAGCTGAGCACACAGCAAAAGTTACCTTTTATGCAAGTTTCAGAAAACAAGCAAGAATTTAGACAAACACAAGTATGACAGGGAGGGAAAAGCAGGCTACACTGCTGTGCCAGGGCCCTGATCTAGTCAAGGAAAAGGTTTAAAAGGCAAAGAAACGCCAGTGCAAACAGCATTGATGCTGGAGCTGCCCAGAAGATATTTGTTTTTGGCACTTCAAATAATAATGCATGATTTTAAAAGTGCCTCTTTAAAGACTTTACCATCCACATGTTAAACAGACTAATTAGATTATTTCTATGTCTTTATCCCAGCACCTGGTTTTTTTAATTCACAGCTTTAACTCACCACTGCTGCTCAACATGCATGCTGAATTCCTTCAGTCTTGACTTGCCAGCACCACAGAGTATCTGGCCTACATACCAAACTCCAAATGTAGAACTTCAGAACTAAATGCTGGTTTTTTGTTACAGTAAAATTTTCCAAAGCCAGCTGAAAAGCATGCAAGTAGTTTTCCTTGGAAACATCTAGTAAGAGTCCACTGTATTCAAATTTTTGGTGCTGCATAGGCACGGATTAATTTATGAAGAGTTATAATAGGAAGAGGGTTACTCCATTAGGTGACATTGAATTGAGTTTTCTTAAGCTATGCGCACCAGCAAACTCTATGTTAGATGTGGTTTTGCCACTGACCAACAGCAAAGTCAATTTAATTTGTAAAAGAAGACTGTTTCTACAAAGAAAATGAGGAAAATACTTACTGGCTTGTGCAATAATATTTGTATGCCTCCTCAGCATAGCAGCAGCAGTTTCTGACAAGGCCACAATTACTTCAAGTGCCAACTGACGCTGCATGTTACTGAGACTGGCATCTCCACACAACTACAACCCAAAAGATTAGAGCAGATGGTTAGAACAGAGGTTTTGGGGTGGAAAAAATGATTCTTAAAAAAACACTCCTAGCTTTACCTTCAGGGTTAGCTGCAAAGTAGCTTCTAAATGTGGTCGTAAATACTTAGGAACAGAATCTGCAATTTCTACAAGGGATTTCAGAACAGAATCATCATTTTGGTAGCAGGAATCATTTAGAGCCTATAAAAAGATAAGATGGAGATAAGATTAAATAAAAACAAACAACATTATGAATAGGACCAGTGTTACAGAAGGAATTTCATTAATTGTATTCTTGTTTCTCTGAACAGTCTCATTTGGCATTAGTAGCTAAATAGCCAAAGCCTGAGGCCACAACAACTGACCAGAGTAAACTTTTTGTTAAAACTGATGCTCCTAAAAATGAACTAGCTGATTCCAGCAGATACAAGAAGATAAGAATCAAGCAGACAATTCCAAGAGAATGAAGTAACTTCATCAGAAGGTCAGTTCTGCAACAGTGAAAACCAGTGAGAAATCAAGAGACCACCAACCAGAACTAAGTGGCCGGGGACTGGGCCATCAGTGGCACACGTACAAATGAGAGACATGAATTGGGGTAGGGGTCCCTCTCTGGAGGCACCAGCTCAAGCTGTAACCTGAGAACTAACAGAACACAATTAATCAGAAGCCTTCACTCCAACGCTCAGCAGGATCCCAGAGCCAGACCCTGCTATGGTGACCTCTGTGCATAAGTCCACAACAGGATACTATGCAGCATCCAAAACTACAAATTTTCTACAACTAAGTTATGGCTCACAATGTTAAAATCTAACACTGCAGACAATCAGAAAGAATTAAGGTCACACATCAGAGGTTCCAACATGCAAAATCACTTGGTTCTGACAACAACTTCAAAATCCAATTAAAAGTACTCAACTCTGCCTGAATTCAAGAAGGAAAATGAGCCTAACTTCCCTTTTGCCTGTTACATGAGAAAAGTTTTGAATAGGTTATGCTTATAAACACCAGGAACCACAAGATTAAAGAGGTTTTTTCCAGACATGCCTCCAGAGCCACCAAATTAAAGCAGACCTTTCAGCCTTCAGTCACAGACATTGAAAAGAGAAAAAGAAATCAAGCTTTTTGCAACTATCTTTCCTAACCCATATCCACATTCTGAAAAGTAATTTAAAACTTTTAACTGATCAGGATGATATTTTACTGCCAAACCAGAACACTGTTACTCAATGGTGTTAGAATCCAGAAGGAAACAAAGCTCCAAAGAAAAAAGTCTTTACACTCTCTTCTGAGATTTTGAAACAAATTTTCATTAGCAAAGTATTTTATGTCTTCCTAATGTTGAAACATTTTTGAAGTGAGTAACTAAATAATTTTTACTATTTAATTCTATAATTCAACATTTTTGATAATGGCACTTCTATAACCCACACTTTCAAAACAGAAGCATCATCTTCTAGTACCAGAAATGTTCTGGGGAAAAAAAAAATCTGTCACGGTTAAGGACTTTTGGTCTAATATGTATAACACTCTGATTCTCTCAAAGGACAATAATATTTACTGGAATTTTCTTCAAAACTGTATTTTATATCAATTGCAACTCTGACAGTTTTTTAAAGCAAGAGTGGTTTTCTGAAGAAAGCAGCTTGAAATGAAAAGTGGGCCCTAAAAGGCAAAAGCACTTTCCTGTAGTATCAAACAATGTCCAAGGAAGTCAATGAAGTTCTATTTGCTTTTGCCTCCCTTTGCAACAGAAATCTTTGGGTAAAAGTTTCAACTGTCAGTTTTGAAAGTTCAACTTTCAGTACAAGATCTATAATGGTACTGCTGGAAGTACTGACATGCCAAGTCAGAATTTTATTTTTACTTTTTCTACCATGTCAGTGTTCCAACAAAATTAATTTCAACAGCAACAAAAAAAGCATCCAACTGTCTCCAAAGGTCACTCACCACTATTCTAACACATTCCTATTTATAAACTCAGATATTCATATCCATCTTGTGTTACCACAGCCAGAAAATCTAGTTCTTCTTGCAGTAAGTATTTTAAAAAGACAGATTTCATAGCACAGCTCTGTGCTCTGCATTAGCAAAAGAAAGCTTGAAAATGCAAGCCAAGTACATGTGTTGTTACAGTGTCTAAGTAGTATAAGAGTAGCATTGAAAGTTACAGCACACAGAGTGGGCTATTAGCCCAAAATCTAAAACTCACACACTATTTAAGTGCCACACATCAAGACAAATGGTATGACCACCCCAAACCCTGCCTTGCCCCCACATACACAGTACTGTAAGTAGCCAAGGTCCTCTTAGGCAGTTACAACTTTTAAACAACAAAATTGTTACTGACAGAGGCATGGACAGGGACTAACCACCAAACAGAGACCTCAATATCAAAAACTTATACACACTACAGCCCATTTTCAAGTTCAGATGATTTGGATAAATTCCTCTCAGTTTGCACTTAAGATCAAGCAGAATTCCATGAGTTGCAGATGCCAGTAGATTTGGCAAAATTTTTCTTCAGCTTGCCAGAAAGCACACGCAGTTTACAGCTCACACTGTCAACAAGAACCTGCTGTTCTGACTGTAGTGAGAAGTCTGCCTTTAATGTAAATTGAGCCTAATTTAAAATCACCAGAAGTTCACTTCCTGCGTTATCACAGGTACTTAGCTGCTTCCACTGTTTCTTGATATAGAAAGGGAAGTGTACTGTGAATTTTTCATCCTTCAGAGCCCAAAACATTTCTGTCTCTGGTTTGGTTTACAATAGGCTTCTCTGCAAACGTAGATAACCTTACACTAGAATTCAACTTTTGCTCAAACTCATCCATCCAAGAGATCTAATCCAGCCTCAGAAACTACATGAAGCTTAAAATCGCATTTTATTTGCAATTTCCTAATTTATCAAACAATAAAGATAATTTCTACAGACTTTTGTTTTCAGTCTAAGAATCTATGTTCAGAATAATTCTATGCTTTCCTCTAAAGTGAAGAGACACAGGATATCACAAGTCCATGAATTCCCCAATCACAGATTACTTCAAATCTCAGGATAGCCCATATTTGTATTTCAATATCATGGTTAATTTAAAAGCTGTATGATTTTGACCTATATACCTTACAAAGAATTTTAACTCATTTATCTCTGTAACACTGTGTAAGATGATCAGCACTGAGCAACTTTCCTTAAAACCCTATCAATTATCCTCTATTTGCAAAATTCCTTATTAGTCTCCACTTCATCTTGCTGGCAACTGCTGTCTGGCTAAAAGGGTCAGTTAATTCAGGCCTCAGCAAAAATTCACCAATTCACAGACCAATAACTTACATTTGTATATAGTCAATAGAGACAGTAATGGCACATTAAGTGTAACTTGTTTGGTTTCTTACCTGCAAGATTCCAGGTAGCAAGTCTGCAAAATGTTTAAGAAGGGGAGCATTGAGCTCATTAGCAAGCACAAATGCAGCTGCAGCTCTAGCAGACAAAGTCTTGATCTAAAAGACATGATTGAAGAAATAAATATGGGAAACTAGTACTGAAACATGCCTCTGTTAGTTTTTAACATGGGATTTTAAATTTTACTTCAAATTAAGGTAAAGTGATAAAGAAGACCTACAGCATCTACATTGTCTACAACACAAAAAATTTATCATAAGAGACGGCAAGTAGTCCCTAGTTTTGCTTTTTCTTTTAGTGGTTTTCATTTAATGAAAGAAAAGAGGAAAAAAACCCTATTGTTTTCAACTTCTATCAAAACTTCAAATGCGCATGCAAGTGTCAGTCTCATTTTTCAAGAAGTGTGATCTAAGTGTTTAAGACATTCCTCTTTAAAGGCATGACTTGTGGTACTTTAGAAAATGTTATTCAGTCTACTTTCAAAGGTCAGAAAAAGTAATCCTTGGGGGAGCAGCAAACTGAACCCATATATCACAGCAGGGTTTCCTATCCTTGCCCAGCATTTTCCATAACAAGAGAAACATTTTCAAAGTACAATTCTCTGCACAAATCAATTAATCTGAAGCCTTCCAAAAAGCAAGGCTTGCTTATACACCCTTAGAGCAAAACATGCACAAACAGTTCAAGGAGCTGTTGTATATTCAGAATTTTGAGATGTACCATGTACCATCTACATACAGATACTGTACCTAGAGACACAACAGACTTACACTGTTAAACAGAAAGGCCAGAAAGAGAATTTAACATGGAGTTTCTGACCCCTCAGTGCTGCTGGCTAAAACCCCATCTGCCTGGGGCCACTGCAACCGGATTTCTCCAAGCATACCTAGGGAAGAATCTGGGCCTAAACAATGCAGATATGAGCAGCCAGTCAGCTTCAGCACTACAAAAGAGTCTGAGCCTTTGTTTTGCAGCAGGCACAGTCAAAACTCTGTATGTACATAATTTTCAGGTAATGCAATTCTCTGGTTGAAATCTATGGTTTAACCTTTATGTTTGCGACTACTGCACTGAGTTTCTATGCTCAGAACATACTAAAATCCCAAAAGAACATAAAGGTCTTACTGAGGGATGCTCCTGATCTTGCATACACTGAACCAACATTCTCTTAATGACATCCAAATAGTGTTGCTGTTGATTCCCAAAAATCCCAGGAAAATTCCTAAGGATAAGACCAAAACATTAATAAAAATTCATACAAGTTAAGGTTAAACTACTATTTCAAACTTATCCATTATTTAAATTACAGATTGTAACTGTACATGTTTAAGTAAGCCACAATACAAGAAAATAAATGAAATAAATACGATTGCTAGTTAATTACATTGTGACAGTTTTTCTTTCATTTTCAGACATGATTAGGCTATCCTACAAAAATGTAGCTTACCAGAAAATATGTAGAGCAGCCTCACGCAGTCCCACATTCTGAGAGCTGACAGAGTCAAATAAGAACTTCAGAACTTCTGGCCACTGGTTGTTGCCATCTTCATCTACATTTAACACAACAAAGTTTTAGGATATGCAAACTTCAGAATGGTGAGATATCAGTGGTGCAGGAAAACCAATCATCACTGACTCCCTGATGTGAAGATGCGCATAAGTCACAATGTAAAATATTGCAAAATGTTTAATCTACAAACACTCCATAACAGAAGATGATTTCTGTTTACTGCTATATAGCAGCACTCAAAAAAAAGAAACTGATGCAATGTTCAGCACAATTCATGACAATTTACACAAAACTGGATTTATAAACCTTAATACAATCTCATCTAAACTTGAGCAATTTAAAAAGCAGCGTTTAAGAATCTTATTTTCATCTGGTCAAGGATAGTGTAAACAAATATTAGGTTCTATTATAAGCCACGGAATCAGTTAGCATATCACACGCAAACGTCTAAGCAGGACTAGAGAACAAGAGATACAAATACAACCGCTATCAATATGTAAACATTTTACTACAGTATCAATTTATATAAATAAAGTACCTATTAAATTCCTGGCCAATTCAGCGACTATGTCACATATTTTCTTTCTCATAGTGGACTGCACTTCTAACTGAATAAAGAGCAGCAATTCACTCTTGACTGACGTCTGATCCTCAGGTGACAAAGCTGGATAAACTTCTTCAAACGCAGATGACAACAGGCGGCGCAGAAGGACAGCTGCCATCTGCCGAGCCTGTTAAGGAGAAGTGTGTGTGTTAAAGTGTTTGACACGGTAATATGCTCCTACAAGGGAACATCGACATCATGCTTCCAAATGACACTTCCATTGTGGAGACTTCTTTGGTGAATGGCATACCTCTCAAGCAACAGATGACAATTATGATAGTGAAAAAAAACCATAGTAAAGAAACATCAGCTTACAATCACGTTTCTGACAATTACAGCCCTTCAAAGAAATAATGACAGTACTGAGGTATTCAGGTTTTTTCTACAGCAGAACTTCAGAAATATTTTGTGGCAAGTTAAGAACTTAGCTGTGCCATTGAAAGATCTTTCTATTTTAAATGGCCTAATGAAGTCATTATAATCCAGACAGGTTTTTCTGGATTAAAAAGTGACTTATTGGGGCAATTTTGTCAGATAATTAACCTGTAAACCCTCCTTCACATTCTCAAACAATTAACCCAAATCCAAGTCAAAACAGCTTTCAGTGTTTTGCAGGCCTATGATGAAACTCTTTCCTTTAAACTTGAACTTAAGCATAGGAACCTCAAAATCATGCATTACAATTTTGTATCCTGTATGTGTACAACTATTTTACAACAGTATCATTTACATATCCATATTCATTTACAATTGTATAAGAACTAGAAGCAAAAAATATAGTAATTCAAAATTAATAGAACAACACAGGTAGTAAAGGCAAAAAGACACATGAAGCTCTCTAAATAACTTGATAGAATATTCATCAATTGGTGTTTAAGGACACACAGTAATTAATAATCATCACCCAAACTTCTAAAGTTTAACACACGTAGCAAAACCTTATGTGTGCTACATTTCCACAAAAAAATCCACTCGATTTTTTCCTAAGATATTCTCATTTAATGTGCACATCAATGACAGTTTAATTTATAAGCCTTTGAAATTCAAAACTGTTCAATGAGCAGCAAAAATAATCAATTCAAATTTCTCAATAATGTTACTATGACATAACCTATAGATGTGAAACACAAACTGCTGCAAAGTGTCAACTTCTAACATACCCTGTAAATATCAGGTATTGCTAAAACATCACCCAAGGTACTATTCTTATGTTCTGCAGTCTCCAAACTCACTGTCTTTTTCTAAACTACCCAGCTCTCTTCTGTACAGCTAAAGGTAGTGCACACAAAGTGCTCTGGACCCAACTCTTTTATCATTCCTTATCTCCTCCTCACCATCTCCAGTGGGGACTAAGGCCACCACATTTGTAAGATTAGCTCTTCCCTAGCAGATTTAAGGAAGGCAGCAGGTGAACAGTCACAGTGCCCACCTGTGCTGTAGCTCCCATCAGAAGCAAAGATTGTCTAGCAACAGGCTGTCATATGGGGAATGCGAGTTCAGAAGGATGTTCTTCCCCCACTGCCTGTGGGAATCTCACTAACAGTGTGTCAAAAAACTTTCATAGCGCTGCAATATAAGGGTATATTTCCTTCTCCCATCCTTTGGAGCACCAATATTGGGAAAGATTAAATTTTTCCTCATTAGTATGATAAACTTACATAGAAATGCCTTGAGTGGGGAGCAAGTTCACTGGGACTAAACAGGGCACAAACTCTGGTATTGTTTTCCCTTACTCAAGGCATTGTGTTACAGTGAGGATTTCCTGACACCTGATAATGACTGAACTCACATTTTATTATATTCTTTCATGAAGTACTAACAGGTGGACAGACAGGAAATAGAGGTGAAGACTTTATGCTTTATGAAAACAAGGATAAGAATTTCCAGCTCTGAAGAATTTAAAATATTAGAATACTGATAAACAGACTGATTGCAAAGAAAAAACACCAGTAGTAAGGCATACAGAAAGACACAAGACCAGCACTACACGAATTATCTCCTGGTTATAGTTACTAGCTTAGGAAAAAAACAATCCCCAAAATCTCTAAAGCAAATTTCAGTTTTAAGGACTGACAAATGAGCTACTGACTTCTAATAATAAAAAATGGCATCTTTTCCTCAGCAGATATTCACTTACATAGGAAAACTATCATTGTCAATTTAATTATGACAAACATGGCTGAATTAATGGCACCTCCAGGGATATTTCTTCTACTCTAAGAAAGAATATATGTATTTTTCACACACACCCCAAAGGTTCTTTTATGTTTAAGTATTTCAAAATATGTATTAAATAAGCATTTTAAAATTCTGCAATTTAGTAGCAATAGCTTTTAATAAGCAGAGGAACAATATAAAGTGTACATCCCCAAAGAAGAAATTCCAGCTGCCAATGAAGCATAAAGAGAGCACATTTTTCCCAGCATTGGGTCTTCTGCATGTCTAAATTACTGAGATGCTCACATACAACTAAAGTGTTACAGTTATTAATATAAAAAGTAGTCATAATACTCAAATTTCAACATACTGCTTCTGATTAGTAGAATTTATAGCGTGTTTAAAATGTTTTAGCATTTTAGGGATGATGGCAATAAAGCACAAGAAGAAAATCAATTTGTTGAGCAGGGCAGCAGCAGAATTACGAGCAGAAATCTGGGATGCCGTGCTCTCCACTGATATTCAAAGCATCCATGTAACCCTACATATTTTATAAGAAAAAGTTTGACTATCTTGTGTAGCACTGTCACACTGAATTTTACTTTTGTTTTATTGTTCAAGTCCTCAAGAAGGAAAACATGCAGGGATGGAAGTAAAGAACATTTAGCACATGGTTCAAAGATGGACTTGCACATTGTCATTCAGAGATCTAGTCCTATGTGGAATTCAAAGCACAAAGTGTCCAAGATCCAGAGACAACTCAAAGGCAGAACTGTGGTGCATCCGTGGGCTGCCTTCCTTCCCAAAGGCTAAACTGGAAGCTGTCCACAACAGCAGTCTTCAAACTAAGAAACGCATCCCTTCATGTGACAATATGGACAGAGGTCTGGGAGAGGTCAGGGCCCTCCAAGAAGCTGTGAGTACAGCAGGAACAGTTTTACAGAGCATCTGTTATTTTACTAGTCATCTGTAAATCAGGACACAATCAAAACCTGCCAATCCAGAGTTAACCAAGAAAAAACAAACACAGGGGAAAATGCAGAACTTCTGCTCCTCTCAAAGATTTATGTGGAAAATCAAAACTGCGAAGTAACAGCCTAAAATATTTAATATTTAACAAATAAAATAAATCTATTCAACTGTGAATATATATCACCTTTCTGTACAGCCCTTTAAAATGCAGTTGGCATAGAAAGTAGTCTTAATTTCATAACAGTGAGACTACAAGTGCAGGAAGTAAGGACAAGCCCCTCCTCAGACTGAGGTGTACAAACATGCACATCACCTGGCACAGAAGAGTTCTAACTGCTAAGTCAGATGCTTCCCTCCACTTCTGTGACAGTGTCACTTTGCTATTAGGAAAGTATGAAATAAGAACAGAGGAAAGAGGTGAGTATTTCCATAGTTTAGGCATCTGGTTAGGAGAAAACCTGTCAAACAGTCAAAAGAGTTATTCCAAATCTAGCTTAATGGCATTTTCTATGTCAAATACAAGGGGTACTTGGCAGCAGGATCTGCATCCCTGTTTCTCCATTTAAATGCCAAAACTACTGGGTTGCAGAGGCATGACTTCCACAATTGCTGTCTGAATAGTCCTACAAAACTTATACTCTCTACAACACAGACACCCAACTCATGCAAATAGGACGGGGTATTTTCTTCAGCATAGTTTTCCTGCAAGGAGGTAAAGCAATACAAAGGCTTCAAGATGAAGAGGGATCTGAACCCAGCTTTCACACAGCCTGGACAAGGCACATTTAAAGTTCTGAAGCTCCTTCCAGCATCCTGTGTTTGGTGGCACTGGTACATTTAATGTGCTCTGAGGACACATACCAGGCCCAAAGCTCTATCCACTGGTGACACGTAATATTCTGCTCAGCATTTGGATTTCTATAAAACATATGCAGAAACTACCTGTTGATACCAGCACCATATTAAACATGCACAGAATGCTTCCCAGCATATGCAGTGTTTATATGCAGAGTTTAGACTGAGCATGGGGATTACTTCACTTAGGCTCTAATTAGTCTACTAAGTAGCTGGATTTACAGGGAAGAGGTTGTAGGTTTTATTAATCAGGATTTTTTGAGTCCAGCACCTAATGCTTACTTATGGTAAGAGCTAACATTTAAACCTTTCTTTGATTAATCCATTGGTAAAGTTAAATATCAAGATATTCTACAAATGTTAGCCTTTGATGTCTTTGGCAAGAGTAACTTCTATAGGTGAAAAGTTTTTTTTGTACTTTGCAAGTCAGAATCCAAGTCATTGGCAAGATTCCTAAGTTTTACACTGGGCTATTTCCTTAGCTGATGTAAAGGGAATAAAATCAGCAAACACACGAAACAAGTATTTATTTATACTTTGTAGTAACACTGCTCTACAGTTTTCTATCATTTGAAACATCCCAGAGGAGCAAAAAGGAAAACTAGATACCTCATGGAACAATATTGAAGGAGTTTGTCAGAAGAACACAACATTGTAGATTGATAAGCATCAGTATGAGTAAACTGATACTTTCTTAGCATTAAAAAGCACAAATGGCAACTAACTCTAAATTGAATACAGTCTGCCAGAAGAGACTGCTACCCATAGAGAAAAAGCACACTTATGCTCTTCTAATATTCTTCAGAAATTGTTTAAGTGACTCTAGAATTTGTAATATCTTGAAAGTTTAGTAGTTCTTTGCTGTGCATATCCAAGTGAATAATGGTTTTACCACTAAGTACTTTAACTGATTGCTAAAATTGTGAGCCTTTCAAAACTAAGGAGTAACTAAAAGGCACCCTTACTTTATGCCCAGATTAAAAAAAAATGTATAATGTTTAGACTACTCTCCACTTATTCCATAATACTACCAGATGACTTAAGAAGCACTCTAAGTTTCAGACAATACACAAGTTTAATATGTTTAGGCACAGGACTCCAAGTAGAAATCACTTCTCAACTGTAACTTGAAGAAACATGACAGTAGGTCACATATCAGTTATACATTTAATGGAAAATAACACTCATTAAGCAAAGCACTCAACAGAAAACAATGGAGAGTCAAGCAGTCATTTATGAAAAAACTATTCCTGAAACTAAATATCCTACACCACAAAGTCTCAGCTAGTGAATTAGGCATGCAACAATCAAGACAAAAAGAAGAGTGATCCCTTCACAAATGTGCAGTAAATTAAGAGCTTCAGTTAATACCAAACTTGCCCATTTATCCCAAAATGATCAGCACTGATTTCTTCCCCCTTCTCCAAGTCCCCTTGAAAATCCGCACAAATCCAAGGTTATTGAGCCATACCTCCTCGGGAGTAGCATTGTTCCTGATTGCCTGCAGGAGGTAAGTGATCTTTGATGGGCCTGGAATAGTCTCGTAGGTCTCCTGCAGAAAAGGAGATGCAGCTTATTGTAAACATTTATTAGAAAGCATGTGTTAAGCATTAATATGAACTCACCTTTTAAAACAACATCGGTATCTATCCAATTTAAAAAAAAATAACATAGCAGAAAAAAGAAAGTAAAACTTATAAAAATAAAAATGTATGACCTACTTTAAAATTATGAGTAAAATATTAGTTATCTGGTAAGATCTGCCATATTGGAATGATCTACATATGCATGACTGGCCACTTAGGAGATTAGTTACAAAATATAAATAGAACAAAAACTCATAGAAATACAACATACACCAAACATGTCCTACTGGGAATCCATCATAGCTTTTATCATATCGAAGAATTAAGAACTTTGGAAGCCTGAGACCAAGTACAGACAAATGTATAGTCCAAAAATCGGATCACTTCTGGTTTTGAACCTTTTTAAAACTTCGACAATGTTATGTGGCAGCCACAAGTCTCAACCACACATTCTGAATAAGAATGTCTTATTTTTAAACTCCTGCCTGAATTTCAGAAAGAGAAGCTAGTCTCCTCCTTAGGAAAACCCTCTTAACAAAATGAGAAATTTAGTAAGTTCAGTTACATTCTTTTACATGCTTCTGGCATGCATTTTATACATGTCTCCTTTTTAAATTATATTGTTACTTAGAATCTAGAGTGAAAACACAGCAAAACAACTTTTGCTATCCAAAACATGGTATATAGGTGCATTTTGAAACAATTTAAAAAAATTAAACCGATGTAGGTAGGAGTAGCAGAATCACAAGCTAAATAGCAACCCCTTAAAACATCCAGAAATAGTTCTACACTTAGTAACTCTGAGTTACTTTTTGTTGTCAATCTTGAAGATTAATTACTTCACCCTTTCCAAATATTCATTATCTCATCCTGAACTCAAGGAATGAGCCTGTTCTGCAAAGCTCAGATTCATTTCTATCAGTTCTCTGCCTGCCTACTTCTTATTTCCAACTCTGCAGTAGCTCCTTCCAGTACTCTAACAAACTCTTACACACCTTGACAGGATACCTGCTATTGTCAATTAAGCAGTTTTGCATTTAATATTAGACATAATCTTCCTTCTGCACCTGCTTCCTAGCAGGCCTCCTTCAAAAAGTGAATCTGCATTTCATATTCTCTCTAGTTGCCAACATACACTCACAGTCAATGAGACTGAATCCCCAATGAATCCCTGCATTTAATCTAATCATTTCATGGAGACTGCAAAATTAAATGAGGTTTAGGGTCAGAATAGAAAGTCTTTGTCAGGTTAACCTCTTCCATGAATGTATGTATCTATACTGCACTGTTATCTTCAAATCCAAAAACTAATACAGAAATACAATGGCTCCCTAAACCCAGGCCCAGCACAGACTTGTTACGCTTTCACAGACAGCTGAAGCACAGTAAAGGCTGGCTTCCCTCGTGTCAATTCTGATAACCATAAAATTCTATTTTGAGTTGTTCGTTTCACTCACTAAAAATGGCAGCAACCTAAGCAGTTGTTCAATGGCATAACTCTGTCACTTCTGCAAACTGGATTCAAAGGATGCTAAAGCCAAGGGGCATAAGGAATACCAGGCCAAACACAGAACCTTCCTTGTGGGCTGGTGGGAGACTTCTTTGCTGGCCTTACCCATCTTACAACCAGTCTTGCCTACACTCTTAACTATGTAGCTGGATCCTGCTACATCTTACTGTATTCTTTAAGTTTACAATTAGTTCCCCAGTTATCTTATGCAGAAGTACGAATTTCTCACACACCATGCCCAACTTTCAAATCGTGCAAGAAAGTATCTATCATCGACACTTGCTACTCATGTTCTCCTAAACCTGAGAAATGCTTTTTAAAAAAGAGCATAAAATCACCAAAACAAAGTAAATAAAAGTTTTTCTATTAGAAGACAGACAAACAAGTAAGAAGACAGGTTTTTATACTCAACAGACAACATTCCAGGATGGACAGTAAAATAAACCAACCAGATTTCAGCCAGCTAGTCAGGTTAAGTTATGAGCATGCTAGCTCATACACATAATCACAGAATGTTTTGGGCTGGAAGGGACATTAAAGACAATCTAGTTCCAAACCCTCTGCCATGGGCAGGGATACCTTCCACTAGACCAGGTTACTCAAAGCCCCAGCCACCCTAGACTTAAATACTTCCAAGAATGGGGCACTATAGCTTTTCTGGACAGCCTGTTCCAGTGCCTCAACACCTTCACAGTAAAGAATTTATTCCATGTATCTAATCTAAACCTGCCCTCCTCAAGTTTAAAGCCATTGCCCCTTGTCCTATCACTGCATGCCTTTGTAAAAGCCACTCTCCACCTTTCCTGCAGGTCCCCTTTAGGTACCTGAAGGCCGCTCTAAGGTGCCTCCAGTCTTCTCCAGGCTGAACAACCCCAACTGTCTCAGGCTGCCTTTCACAGGAGAGCTGTTCAGACCCTCTGACCATCTTTGTGACCCCGCCCTGGACCCACTTCAACAGGTCCATGTCCTTCTTGTGTTACGGGCCACAGGTAGACACAGTACCCCAGTGGGGTCTCACAAGAGCAGACTGTACACACCTACTCAGTTTGGAGTCATCAGGCTTCCTTCCTCACCCTTTTTTAAAAAACATCTTTTACTACAATCCTCCCAAACAGGATATGACTCTACATCTCCATCAAGCTCACTCTTGAGCTGAACACCCCTCATTCTCATTTCAATGGCCAGACCTATTTGGAATAACCTGCTTAGTCTGCTTAGTTCCCTGTCTATCCATTTCTCATTCTGACTGGTTTTCACTAGACACAAATGAAAACCTGCTATTCAATTTATCTGCAGTTATTTGAATCCTTTATGTATTCAATATTACCTTCCACCAGTAAGTTAACTTTGAAAAACTGACTGGACTATGCCAATGTTTAAAACCAAGTATGAGTCCTGTATGATTTTAGGAAGCAAATATTTTAAAGGTTATGCAATACTTTTATCCAAAAAAATCTTACTTCAAAGAACATACAATTTAAGTCAGTCTAGCTACACTGTAGAGACAGATTTGTGTTTCTAGGTGAAAGTTCATTAACACACCACAAAGACTAAGTGGGGTTCTTCACAGCCATGCATGGTGGAAAAATTAGAAACAGGCTTAAATTGAAAAAAGAAGGTTCAGTCTGGAAGAAGAGGTCCCGATCTCTCTGTCCTAATGAGGACAAGTCAAGCAGGAGTGAGTAACTCAAAGAGCCTGTGCAGTCTCCATTCTTAGAGGTTTTCAAGAGTCAGCAGGACAAAGCCCCGAGTGACCTGATCTGACCTGATAGCTGACACTGCTTTGAGCACGGCAGACCTCCTGAGGACCCTTCCACTCTGAAGGATCCGAAACCATAAAATAATTTGCAGCGCACCTTGGAAATATTCAGAAACTAATGACAAATTCAGTGCAGATAAATAAGTAAAAAGTTATATTATTCCTTGTATCTTTATAGGAAACTAACAGACTTGAAAAGCTTGGTATCTATCATGCCAATTAGGGTTTCTTATTCTGATTGACCATAGTGTGTATGTAATAAATAAATACATACTTATGAAGAGTAGAAAGAACTCCAACTCATTTTCAAGCAAGTTTCTGACAAAATATACCAGTTTTAAGAATCTAAGCTTTAGAGTTCTTACCCAATGTTTTATTTCATAGGCATTGTGACATAGGTGCACAACGAACTTGCTTTGTTATAATTCCAATAAAGTTCAAAATTTTTTAGAAATGTTTTTATGTTATATGTAGGCAATTGAGAAGAGAAAGAAATTCAGCTCCCAGGGAATGGCCTCCACTGCAGCTCTGTGTTCAGGAATGTGAGAATAATTCTTGCTGACTCTCTAGAAAAGTGCAGTTATCAATACCGAACTTCACTAGCTTTCTAAAAATGTACGTCTCCCCTCCTTCTCACTCTGGATTCATATTTGAGGAATTTTCACTGCAGCATCAGGAATAATGGTTTTTATTCTTCCCCAAACAATGCGCTGAACTCTGCTGACCGCTGGAGTGATGAGAGCGATAAAAGACCCGATGCAGCCATGCAGCGGGAATTCATGCTAAACCTAGACGCTGGTATTTAATTCAACGGGAGAGATTCCCCACCAGGCTTGACAATGGAGCCTTAAGCATGTCAGAGAGAAAGAATTAACGTGGCTTAGCCGCCACAAAGAATTTCAGCTGAAACAACATGTCTGAAAACTTTTTGCTGATAACAAGAGAAACTCAGCATATTGAAAACACTTCTTTTGGGTTAAATGCTTCTTAGCTGACGAAACTTGAACACATACAGGGCCGTTCCGAAAAGTTAAAAAACCAAACTCCTGTGCGGCAACAGAGAAGGACCTCGGTCCCGCTCCTGCCGGCCAAGCTGGGGCGGGGGCACGGAGCCCGTGCGAGGGCCGCTTCGGGAGCGCACACAACAGCGCTTCCATCGCGCCAGGCTCCCGCTCTGACCTCCTTCGGGAGCCGCCTCCGCTCCCGAGCCACCGAGAGCCGGCCCCCACACGCCGCTGCCGCCACCGGCTTGTGGCCCCCCCTGCGCGGCGGGGCCGCGCTCCGTCACGCCGGGCGGCTCAGGCGGAGCCAGCCATGGGCAACGGGGACAAGCAGCCCCTGGCGACGGTCCCACACGGGCCACGGGGGGGGCGGCCTCGAGGCGGGCGAGGGGCGAGAGCGGCGCCGGACACGCCGGGGCGGGCGCCGAGGGGAGTAACGGGACCCTTCGCGCCCTGACGGGCCAAGGGCCGGCGCGGGCCCTGCGCCCGCCAGGCAAAACGGTCGCCACCGCCCGGCCCCGCCGCTCCGACCGGGGCAAGGCCCGGGCCGCCCCGGCGGCAGCTGGTGCCGCTGCTCACACGTGGGGCTCGGCCGGCCCCGCCGCCTCCCTGCCCCCCTCCCTTCCTCCCTCCCTCCCTCCCGCCCTCCAGCGAGGCCCGGCGGGTCTGACAGGCCGTCTCGGCGGCCGCTGACGCGGCGGCCCCGTTACCTCGGCCTGCTTGCGGACGGCATTGTCCGGGCTGAGCAGGTTGCCGAGGAGGGCGTAGAACTGCTCCTGCTCCGTCGCCGCCATTGCTGCGAGAGGGAAGGAGAGGGAGGAAGGGGGAGCGCCGGCCGCGCCGCCGGCGGGGGAACGAGGGGCGGGGCCGCAACGCCAGCCGCGCTCCCATTGGCCGCGGCGCACAGAGCCTCGCCCCCGATTGGCCCTGCCTCCCTTTGACGTCCCGGCGGCTCGGGGCGAGGCGGACAGCGGGGAGCGGCGGCTCAACCGACCCTCAATGGGGGTTTGTCTCCTCGCGTGTCATTGGTGCGCCGCCGCGCCGGGGGCGGAGGGCACGGGCGGCGGAGCTCTCTGATTGGCGGGTGGCTCCGGCAGCCCCGGCGGGATTGGCCGGAGCCGCGGTCGGGCGGTGCGGGCAGGGAGGGGTCGCTCCGGGACGCGGAGCTGGGGCCGGGCCAGGCCGGGAAGGGGAGGGACGGAAAGCGCGGGAGATCGCGGGGCGTCGCCTGCGGGCGCTCGGTGACGTAGTGCTGCTGTCCCGCCACTGGGAATCAGTGAGTCACGGAACGGGTCAGGTTGGCAGGGACCTCGGTGATACGTAGTCCGAGCTCTCTGCTCAGGCAGGGTCGTCCTGGAGCACATGGCACAGGATTGCGTGGAGATATTTATTGAATATTTCCAGTGACGGATACTCCACAGCCTCTCCGGGCAGTCTGCTCCAGTGCTCAGTCACACGCACAGTTCATCCTCACGTTCAGGTGGAACTTCCCGTGCGTCGGTCTGTGCCCGCTGTCTCCTGTTCATTGCTCAGCACCACCGAGCTGAGCCTGGCTCCAACACCGTGGCACCCTTCTTTCAGATGCTGATAGGCATTGCTGAAGTCCCCTCTCAGCCATCTCTTCTCGAGACCAAGCAGGCCCAGCTCCCGCAGCCTTTCCCTGTAAGAGAGTTGTTCCACCCCTCATTCCCTTCTGCTGGACCATTCCAGGAGCTCCATGTTTCTCTTGTACTGAGGAGCCTAGCACCGGACACAGCACTCCAGATATGGCTTCACCAGGGCTGAGCAGAGGGGCAGGACAACTTCCCCTGATTTGCTGGCATTGTTCTTCCTAATGCACCCTAGGATACCATTGGCCTTCGTGGCCACAAGGGTGCTGGTGGCTCGATGGAGCAGCACTGCCAGGTCCTTCTTTGTAGAGCTGTTTTCCAGCAGGATCAGCCCCCAGCCTGGGGCTTATTCTTCCCCAGCTGCAGGATCTTGCGTTTGCTTTCGTTGAGCTTCAGAAGGTTTTTCTGTGTCCATCTCTCCAGCCCACTGAGGTTTTAACAGATTGAATAAAACTGAATTAGTATTCCCTGCGATCTCAGGGGATATCCCAGGTCCGTGATGTGCATGGCAAGAGGCTTTGAGCATTACTCTGCTCATTGGTGGAGGGCTCTGTTCAGCCAGCTGTTCAAGGTGCACCAGCCAGCTGTTCGGGGTGCAGCTGTGGGAGTGGCTGGCTGGGTCAAGTACCTCCTTCTGCTGTGCCTTGGCTGTGCCCAGGGAATGCCAATGCCTTAAAAGCAGGAGGAGTCAGCCGGAGGGAGGGAGGGAGGGAGGCAGGAAGGAAGGCAGGAAGGAAGGCAGGAAGGAAGGAATCTATCTTGACTGCATCAAGAAAGAGTTGCGGGCAGGGCTAGAGAATGATTTTAAGCTGTCTGAAAATTCAGAAGGGCCTTAAGTAAAGATGAAATATAAAAGCAAGCATGTTTTCTAGTGTGAAGTGCACTCCTGTAAATGTCCTCAGACCTCAGCTGTGTGGATTAGGTTTGTACAGCTTGTTACACATTCTGGAAGGCCTTTTGGATGTCTTCTTGAAATAGGCATGGTTTTCCTGCCTTTTTATCACCTGTAAACGGGTTTGTATGAACTTCTATAACATTGCTGTCTGCTTCCCATGCATAAACAAATAAATGTATTTGCTTTCATCTTGACTTGTCTTAGTGGTGATTTCACCAAAAAGCTGTAGTAGGATTGTTACCTAAAGAATAAATATCTGATGGGGGTTGGGGAGAAAATGTAAACCGCAGGATATGGAAAATTGTTTTCTTACTCCTGCTGTTTTTTGCATCTATAGATTCAGGGAGTGGGTTGTTATGTAAAAACTGCCTAGTTGTCTTTGAGAAACAGCAAGGCATATGAAATTTGCCTACGACCTGAAAAACAGTTGTCAAATTATCTTTGGAGTACCAGTGATGAACATCAGATTCCAGCAGAGCTCCCTTAGAAGGGGAAGGCAGGAAGGGCAGGAACAACCTGATGCAGTTGATTACAGCAAGCCAAGTGAGAGTGTCTCTCTGTGTGTGCATATGTGTCTGTTTCTGATTTTGTGTGTGTAATGCTCAATAAATTTAGTAGTGTAGTACTCCAGGAATACATTTGAATACATTTCACCCTAATATTCAAAGCATAGAAGGGAGCATCTATACTGTGTTCAGAAGAACCTGCTGGTAAACTTAGAGGATTAATGATGTTCCACCTCAAATCCTCACAGTTTGGGGAAGGCAGATTAAAAACTTCACCTAGGTAAAAAGCAGTTAATATATTGGAGAGAGTCCCAAGCAAACAAAGTTATCACTAATGCAGTATGATCAGAGTCTGCCACATCAGGTGCTCATTCTCACTCAGGACAAGTTTGAAGCTTGGGAAGCAGCCAGAAACTATGCCAAAGAAGCAGGTATCAGCACTAAAGAGGGTTTGAACAAGCACCTGAGGAGAGCTCAAATAGGAACAACCACAAAACAGCCAGCAGCAATGTTGGTATTGCTGGATATTGCCTGATTCCTGCACTCTGTTTAAAAAACAACAACAACAACTACAACAACCAAACAAAAAAGAAAAAAAAAAAGGACAGGAGAAAGTATGATAGCAGAAATCAGAAGAATTACCTTGACCTCTTCTAAACACTTAAGGCCCAAGATGTGTGTTGAACTGTAGTTTATCCAATGAAATTTTATTGATGTTTTAAAATTTGGACAGACTCTGAAATTGAAAATTCAAGTCTTCAAAAAGCAGAAGCTTTAGTTTAGTATTTATTAAACCTCACAACTCTGCACACAAATGGATTATAAAGAGAGGAAGAGCTAGAAAACTATTTATTATACCTGAGGAATGCTATAATGTTTCTTACAGAGTATTAGGAGATGTGAAATGACAAACAAAATAGGAAAGGCATCTCAGATTCTTGTAAAATACTTTCTGATGCTGACTTACAGGTGAAGGGTTTGACATGTCTGTGTTTCAACATTCAGAAGCAAAGAATGAGATGAAGGTAAAGAAAGATACAGAAAAGAACATCTAGCAAAATAAATTCAAATGTATTTGCAAAGCACCATAACAGGTCAGCTCTGTCATATGAGGAGATCTACCATAAGCTTAAATTCATAGTTTCTTTTTTAGAATAGAATAGAATAGCATTCAATGTTATAGAAGTCAATTATTACTGAAGATTTGTTGATGGTCCATATGGATTCCATATACTCTACAGATCACAAAAAAGTGCAACCATGATAGCCTCAGAGGCTAGAGAAGAGTTAGAAAGTGCATGAGGGCAGATTTCCAGCAAAAGTCAAGAGAACAGAGTAAGTTGATGTCAGTGGGAAGCTATGCTCTAGCGGGGGCTGTTTGAAGTTATCTTGGCAGAGCAAGCTCTCTGCAAGGAGCAGGCAGTGTCTGAAAATTGCTCTGGCCAACATGTGGGGTGAGGCAAAGAACTACAATCCTATCACTAATGACTATCAGTAGTGGACTACAGTTTTCACAATTTTTTTTTTGTTTGTCTGTTCATCCGTTTTGTGTACTCAGAGCTCAAAAAGGGCATAGATCAGTTCCCGTGCCTAAAGCAGGGGATGGGATCCCTGTAACTATAAAGGATGCTGAGAGAGATGCTGCTCTTTCAGTTCTACTCCAAGAAAGCCTGACCTGTGGCTTCTTACTGGTTCTCTGTGTTGGTAAGGCAGAGCTGGGAGGTGATACAACAGTGTCTAGCCACAAGCTGAGGGGTCTACTAGACTGGGGAGCATGCTGGGAGTCAGGAGGATAGCCATCAACCACTAATGAGATCCAGAATTCTTGGGTGGGAACTTTCTGAAACCATTGAAATGGTTAATAATCTTAATTACAAGGCAGGAAATCTTCACATGCAGCTTATTCTGTAGGTCCTACACACTGCAGGCTTGAAAAGCTCTTGCTGTGAAGAAGCTTTGAACATCCTGTAGAGCTGCAAAGAGGCATCTCATACTTCCCTCCTCCCAGGTCTACTCACTGAAGTCAGATATCCCTTGGAGGACATCAGACTGAGGAACTGACATGAAATTTTTCTGCTCCAGAAACCAGAATACAGAGGGACTTGTATATTTGTCTAGGAGTATTTTCTGAGCAACTATACCTGTTAAAAAGTTCGCTCTAACCTCACCAGAGACCACCAGACAGTGCAGAATTAATGAAGTGTAAAGGGCTGGGATAACCTGTGGAGATAAGTGACTTCTTGAACAGGGCTCTGTCCCAGGCCATTTTACCAAGGAGTGATACAGTGGAAGAAGTAGGAGACAAGGCTTTTTTGTGGATTACAGGTGATACTGCACTGAGGCTGTGCCTGCTGTGTCACAAGACAAGGCAGATAATTTGCTGAGCAGCCTGAGCAATGCTAAGTTCTACAACCTGCCAAGCTTCACAAAGCTGCACATACACTTTAAAAAATAGTAGTTTACATGCATGATGAATGTAGGCCTTTGAGTTCCAGACAATTACTGTAATTTGTTAATTTAGGAGGCAACTTTCTGGCGCTTAAAAACCCAGTGTTCATAGAACTGCATTATTTGATGTATTGATAACGCAGAGGCTGAGAAGAGTGCAAAGTGTGGGGTTTGAATTGAAAAAAATGGATAAATTATGAAAAAATAACACACTTTTAGTCAATAACAGCAAGAAGTGGTAGGGGGAGACGTTACTGCTCTCAGACATACTAATACAAAGACACAGGGAATTAGCTTGTACCAAAAAAAAAAAAAAAGACCATTCATACAGTTTTCTTTTTTTTAGAATAGAATTCAATGTTATAGAACTCAGTTATTACTGAAGATTTGTAGATGCCTTCAGTGGT